AAACCCACCAGCAGCTCCATCTCCCCACGGTTAAACCCCCCAGCAGCTCCAGACCGTGGAGGGAGCCCTAACAATTGTTAAAAGTTCGCTGCTCAACTGTAGAGATAGAGAAAGGCAAGGTTTTGTTTGTAAAGTTCTGGAGATAGTCAGTCTACTTTGAGACATACATTTAAAAAAAAAGTTGATATCCACCATTATGTATTTACATCAGGCAGTTTACTACAGTTTTTTTTTTAGGAATAAAGAAACATTTTTGAAATGTCACTTTTTAGAGCACTGGTCTTGAATAAATTCAGTTCAATCCTTCCATTTTTGTTGGATTCACTTCTTTACAATCCAGAGCTGTTTGAAATCATTGTTAAAGTCCAATTGTTTAAAAACTACTTCTTTTTTGCACAGTTTACCTCTGTCTTTTCTTCATTAACAATTTATACATGCTTCAGATTGCATAATGTTTCAATAATTCCACAACTATATGAACCCATATTAAATATTTTTTTTAATTACGCAAGATATATTGGATATTTAATAGTTTGATTACAATTTTCCTCGACAGATTGTTATCTTAAGATTTAAGTAATTCAAACAATATTAACCTTGTGGTTCAAGAAAGGAGAAAGAGTCTCATAGATGTCTGTAAAGGACAAATCCCCTCTTACAAACAGTAATAAAACCTGAGGCCCATTTAGCTGTTGTAGGATAATGGAGTTCCACAGAGATGAAGAACAAGTATTGGTTCATCAGCAGGTGGTGAAGTAGAAAAATAATCTATAAAATACCTCCCACAGGACTATTGAGACATTCACACAACAAAGATTGCACATTGTGCAATCATGTAGACAACCGTGCCCTGTGATCCAGCATGGTGTAATATGCCACACAGAGAAGGAACATATCTAAATCCCATCTATTTCTGTGGTTTCTCAAGGGCTGCCACGAAATGTCATATGGGTGCAATTGTAAGATAGTAAAAGAAAGGTGTAGTGGGGTCTGTAGTCATTGTGCAGAGGTGAGATAAGAAATCCATGGGAGCGAGAGATTCAAATGGATATGGTGTAAAAAGGTAAAGAAGGATTATCAGTGAAAAAGGGGATTATTTTTATTTGTCTGCAGGTGGGGAAACAACCAATATTATTGTTGTTGTTGCTGTCATCACTCTTTAGATAAAGTGTAGCTTTGTGACAGTACAATTACGGAAATTAATAATTTAATAATTTTACAATGAAAAGGTTCTTAAAATCTCCTGTAAATCAAGCAAAAATAAGCAACCACCTTAACAAGAGAAAAGCACAACTAACTTATCTTTTGTTTCAGGGGGGGGCAAATGGTAAAGTTGAAGTATTTTAAAGATGTTTGATGTGTTTTAGTATATAGAACATAAAATTATTTCATGAAACTTTTTTCCCCTCTGGTTAAGTGTAGCTCTCAGTCTTATGCATGAGCTTTAAGATTTTTTTTTATTTTTTATTAATCAAAAACAACCTATGAGAATTGGTGCAGATCTTTCAAAACTCAACAAAACTTGACAGCCCTGGACTTTTTGCCCTGGGGTTTTTACCCATGTGCATGTCTTTATCACAGTCTATAATCCATTAAGATGTAACATTAGGATAATGGAAAGATCCACCGGCTGTATTGTAAGTGTGAGGTCACAACAAGCATGATTTTGCACAGGCTGTGGTTAACATTTAAAGATGACCTTTAATAAACTTTTACCATCTATTTATATGTGATGGACATAATGGGTTCCATACCACTAAGAATTGATAGCACAGAAAAAGACATTACTTCATAAAGTTCAGATTTTGTCACAGGCTGCAGTTCACCTGTTTCTAAGTACGCAGAGAGAAAATCTGCTGAAAATCTCACTGTTGGCCTTTCAATGTTTTGACACGTGTTGCTGAATTCAAACCCAAGGGACCAACATTTTCAATTCAGCTCACTTCAAATGTGCTTTGCCCAATTAATTCAGGCTTTATTTGAACTGTTGAATACGGAAGACATTAGCCATTGGATGTATGGATAGTTGTGTGTCTTGTCAAGCTGATTTTTTGTGTGTTTTTACACATTTGAAAGAAACAAAGAACTCATCCTTGATGTTCAGATTCTTTGGTATGAAACCAAAAGCCTATGAGCTGTGTGCTATGTTTTGAGAAATTATGTTTTAATGAACTGAAAGGGAAGTCATGTTCTCCCATTTAATAATATAATATAGGCTATACAATTAGCACATATTTCCTCTTCAATTGTGTTTTTCAGACGCTTTCATTCATGTTATGTTATGTTATGTTATGTTATGTTAAGACCCTGAAAAATCTTCCTATAGGCCATAACAGTAATGGTTCATACTACACAGATATTTTTTTCAGTTAGAAAGCCCATAGCAGAATTACTAAAGAAGGTTTATTCCATGTTTATTCCAAGACAGTCGTTGAAGGCTGTATGCTCCTAAAGTCAGACGTTTTACAAATTGAACAACTGTGTGATGTTGAAACGTTTCCTTCCTTTTTCTAAGTCTGACTGTGTGTCGGAGTCGCTTCTTGTCAAACGAGTTTGACAGGAAAAAAACCACACAAACCCTCGGACACACACGCTATTAGAGTTCTACACTTCCTCTGTAAAGGTTTGGCTGGAGACATCCTACAGTGCTCAGACTGTTTCACTCACAACATAAAACTAATAATATTAACATCCAAACATGTAAAATAAAGAAGGATATTTGGAAACGGACTGTGGAGACCACAAATCACAAAAAAAATCATTAATTATTTTCAACCCGTTCGATTCTGAACCAAAAGTGAAGCAAACTGCCATGTTGTGTCCAATTTTGAGGCAAGAGATCAGTTGAGATTGTAACTCCAGGAAAGACAGGAATGCACGAATGGACAAGCGGGGACAGGTGCGGTGGGCGGGGACAGGCGCGGTGGGCGGGGTCAGAGACGCTGGCTGGCGGGTAGGGTGAGACGTGATTGGTGGAGAGCGCCAACAGTCATCCAGGTGGCTGCAGAGAGCTCAGGTCTCGCCCAACGGGTTCATCGTTGTCAGGGCTGTGTCGGGTTTCGATTCAAATTGGGCCCTGAAGGCTGCCCTTCACATTTTCGTTGCCGTCTAAAACGACAAAGGACAAAATACAGTTTTTATTTTTCCCTCATCGAAAAAGAAAATCTCTACCATGGAGAGGTGGACTTTTGCCTTGGCTATCTTGTGTCTGGGTGAGTTGTTTCTTAAGAAATAGCTATTTTCTTTCCTACTTAGGTAAGGGGCGACCACACCTGTTTACACAGCACAGGTTCACCTTTGGAAAAGAAAACGAGGCCCTGGATGCCTAAATAGGAAAGTTGGCTGCCTTAATTATTTACTGAACAGTAGTCAGGACTTTTCTTCTTTTTTTAGATTTAGACGATTAAAAAAACGTGTTTTTTGGGGGTTGTGAAATTAGGCTAACGCAAGCAGGTCATAAGAATGACTGTGTGGCACATAGAGTTCTATGCAAATAGTCATGGGTCTATAAACGACATATAATGGCAGAATCTCAGACAAAGTAGGCCACTTATTTATTTCTGTTGATGTTATTATCCGTAACTAATTACTCGACGATAAAATGCTATCAGTGCGTCTGTTTCAAAGTAAAGTAAAAGACCCAAAATCAACCCCAAAAATAGTATTGCAAAATGTTTTGGTTTCTACTCCCTGGAAAACAAATTATAGGTCACATAAAAACAATTAGTTTTTTTTTCTCTTCTTCTTTTCTTTTCTTTTGTTGGAGTATATGTGGGCGGAAGGGTGGAGTGACTGAGTGGAGCAGATCGGTTTTCTGATGTTTGATGGTGAAAGATTTATGATAATGCCCTCAAGTAGCATTCTAGGCTCGATCCCTAGTCACTATTTTGGGGAGTAATGAGATGAAATTGATCCTGATCCATTTTGTTTTAATGTCATGGCAGTGTGGTCAGATGGTGGCGCTGTCACAGTTGAAATTCCGCAGCCTCAATATGAGTTTGCCAGAGGTGACAACATCACACTTCCTTGTACGTTTAAAACCACCAAAGTGAACCCAGCAGTTATCGTCGTCACCTGGTCTGCAGAGGCTGCAGAAGTTGATGCTGAGGAGGTCAGTGGGGTCACATTTACCCATCTATCGCGCCGACTGCCCATAACTATCACGCTTTTGTGCTTCAACAGAACCAAGTCCTCTCGCACTTTTGGCCCAGTGGACAAACCGACATCACCTCAAAGTACGAGGGCCGGGCGTCCCTGGATGTCGATATCAAGAGAGGAAGAGCTAACCTTAAGCTGAGCTCCATCACACTGGATGACAACAAAAGCTTTGAGTGTCGTCTCCTGATCCAAGGCGACGACGAGGGCACACCGGCCGACACCACGCGTCTGGTGGTCCTGGGTAAATATTTTATCTGTTGCCTGAAGGCCTGAAGCTTAGTCTACAGTTTAAAACTTTTTTTTGTCTCTTAGCTGCTGAAGTAAATGCATGTTAGGAGTAATCCTAATCTCTGTGTTGTATGTTCTTGCATGTGAGTGATTAGTAACTTCATTCTGACAAAAAGTGTTTAAAGGACACAAGTCCAGATTTGCCAGATATGAGCTGTCGTCAATGGATAGCCTGTGTCTGCCAGATCTAAAAAATGATGGAAACGTTTTTCATAGTGAAACTCACACTTGTCTTTTCCAAGTGGCTCCATCTACACCCATCTGTAAGATCCAAGGCACGGCAGAGTATGGGCAGAACATCAACCTCACCTGTCGTTCAGAGGAGGGCTCCCCTCCTCCCACCTACACGTGGAAAAGCGTTGACACCCAGAGTATGCCTCGTGCTCCTTACCCCAGATCCGTTGACAGTAAGTACCGGCATCAGACGTCATGTTCACATTCAAAAAGAACATTAGTGGAAAACTGCGACGGTTTATTGTGATTCTGAGGAAAGTGGAAGCTTTACTGCATTGAAACGCTGACTTCTGCATGTTTTTTCTAAACAGTCTCGCGCATGTTAATGTCCAGAATAAGCAGGAAGTCACAAGATGGCTTCTGGGTTTTTCTGTTTGTAATTTAATTCGGTTGCATGTCACATTTTTCTGCAAACTTCTGCATGTTGAATTGTGTTAAAGACTCAGAATGCTTTTGTCAAAATATACATTTCTATGTTTGCTGACTATAACGAATCATCAACAGGAATTTTGTTTAATGTGCAATAAAAAGAAAAACCTGGACATTCATTATGCGTAATCCAGACACATCCACAAGCTTCACCGGAAGCCCCGTCGCTTCCAGTCGATGTCGATTCTGAGAGCTGATACAATTCAGCTCTCACAACTTGAATTCCCAGTTGAAATCCGATCAACCTCGAAGAACATCTAAGAACGTAGTGCTCTGTAAATTAGATGTTAGAGTTCAACAAAAATTACTGCTGGAACACATGTTTTTTTCACATTCAGGGAAACTTTTTTGTGGGGTTTAAAACACATTTTGTTCCTAAAGAATGACATGAAATTGATGGAATTCTTTTTAAATGGGACATCATACACATTAAGAAGAGCTCTATATGAATATTCACTTAAGGCACAACAGTGCTTTTTCTCTACATGCTCAGATGTATCCACAATTTGACCTATTTGGGTATGAGTGTAGACTTTACTAACACAATTGAAATCAGGCTCTGGTTAAAGCTCTTCATTTGAAAAGGTTCTGTTGATTACAGTCTTTGCTGTCAGTAACGACGGAGAGCAAAGGTTTCATGATGAATAACTGACAGACGATGGCGGACCACAACCGTTTGTGGGTGTTACAGCATGTTTCTGTCCTCTGCACCACAGATGTGTTTCAAAGGCACTTTGAATTTCCTTAGTTGAGAATCACTTCTGATTGTTGGCATTGACATTCACGCACCGTTTATGGGAATATCCTTTGTCTTGCAGAAGGAGGCATCCTCTCTCTCTTTAACATCTCCAAAGAGTCTTCTGGATACTACACTTGCACGTCGACCAACAAGATCCGCTCAGCTCAATGCAACATCACCCTCTCAGTCATGCCACGTAAGGAACTCCTTCTTTTTTGTGTTAGATTTGTTTTCAGTGAATTAATCATTAAGTCTCTTTACCATCATTTTCATTGACCCCCGTTCATTGTCTCAACTGATCTTTCCCCATTCCTGTAGCATCCATGAACATTGGTTCCACAGCGGGAATCATTGGTGGGGTAGTCGCTGCTTTGATTGTGCTCATCGTCATCATCTATTGCTGCTGCTGTCGCAAGAAGAAGGAGGGAGAGGAGGAGTACGCCATGGGGTAAGGAGTTTAACGGAACACACACCGGCACATGGATCAGAGATCGTTCCAGGCTTTGGCAGTGGTGCACAATGTGAAAAATTAGGGAACTGTACATCAGATATGGGATTAGACGAATATACCTTTGACCAGCCTTCTTCAGGCAGACCTTCTCTGGTTGTTTCCTCACCCCGGATGTTTGACATTCCTGTATCTGTTCATTTTTTAGGAAAGTTGAGGACGAGTACCATGACAAAGAGCCCAACACGAACGGAGGGGGTCGTCGCGCAGACGAAGAGGAGAGCGTAAGAGGTCCTGATGACGACCGCGTGAGGAGTCCCGTGGAGCGGCGCGACGACTACGAGGAGAGGAGCGAGCGCGACTACGACCGCCGAAGGGACTACGATGACCGGCGCAGCGACTACGACGACCGGCGCAGCGACTACACCGACCGCCGCGAGCGCTACGACGACGACCGTCACTACGACGACGAGCGCCGCTACGACGATCGCAGAGACCGTCGCTATGAAGACGACGACCGTGAAAGAGCACCAAGGAGGGACTACGATGACTAAAGACATCCACCCGAACATGCATTCTACTGCCATCTCCACCTCCTGCTTTAGTTTGATTTTATACTCAGCTGAATGAACGGTTTGGCCCAGTCGGCCTTTTTATATACGTTTTTTTTTTGTTTGTTTTTTAAACTGACCAAAACTACAATCCACTATGTCTGATGGCACAAATCTAAGAGGTGGAGTTGTTTGCATCAACATTTTGAATGCATGACTGGAAGATAACAATGATCTTTAGATTTGGACGTGAGAGGCTCACATTTAATGGATTCTAGCAAGCTTGTGGGCAGAAACAGTGGTTAAACTTTCTAGATCCGGCTTGGGTAACGATAAAGAAATAGTTTGTACCATTGTTTTTTCAAAATGTTCGTGTTAGATAAATATCAGGTGTACAAACATTTCAATATATTGTAATATATTGTCTTACTGGTTGGTTGCTTATCTTGATCAGTCACGGAAAAACACTGAATGTAAACTATTTTATGCAAATTGTTTGAGTTGTCCAGTTGTAGAAAAACTCTACTAGCTGCGAGTACTCTCTTGACATGTTTACTTTAATAATTAGTTTTTCTAACATAACTGAAAACTTAATGTGCAGGTGCCAAACTTTTTAAGGGGTATGTGACTTTTAATATGCAGACATATTCTGGTTTGGTCACATTCTGATCAGGTTGCAACACTGAAAAGAATTTGGAGCACGACTGTAAAATATGTGGACGTGAGCGGTGTAAATACGTGAGGGGGTGTTTGTTTTTCTTAGTTTAATAAATTGTCTCGGTTTTCTTTTCATTTGTATTGCCATGTGTAAGGAGCTACCACCACATTAGAAAGAATGCTGAGACTGTCATTACTGTCTTGAGTTGGTTACTTTTTTGCCTTTTAAGATATATATACATAATAACATAAGAAATAAACTTGGTATTCTGGCTTAATGTTTTCTTTTTACTTTTGTCGCAGGGTACTTTGATCTACATCCACTTTTTGAATTGTTTGCTTCTACTTTGATGTCACTAATGGGTTTTCCTGTTTGAATGATTTTGCAGCTTGGGGTTTAATAAAATTAAGTGAAATCTCCCCTGAATTCTGAGCACCAGATGGCAGCACATTCCTCTTGATTCACTAAGACTGTTGTAAAAGTTATTGTTTCCTTGAGAGCTATTAACTGACATTTTACCATGGAGGATTACTCTTTTCTGGGACTTTTGGGTAATATTGACCTCCATTGTTCCCCTTTTTCCCAATCTATTGTCCAACAATGAACTGGGCATCTCAAACACCTCACACTCTTCTGCATCAAGTTGACTAATGATAGCCATGAGGGGACCTAAAAATAAAGCTAGATGCCTTGCAAAATCTGCCCTCAAAAAGTGATACGTGCGCTCTATTGACAGAAGAATGCATCCTACTAGTAGACCTCATTTAGTGACACTCAGGTTGTAACAGTTCCTTTAGTAGTATTAGTACTTTGGGCCATTTAACTGTAGGCCTATAGGTTTGGTTTTCTAATAGGATGGCTTTTGATGGACCTACAGGTACATGTTTCTGGCATCCAACTGAAATGTGACTGAACACCTGACTCAAATAAAAAGGAAAGCTCTTCCTGTTTTTACGCTCTGCACAAGTCATGAGGAAGTTTTCCATTAGTTTGCTGGAATGCCGGAGCAGGGAAGTTTGGGAAAACATGCAGGTAATTGTGCCTGGAGGACCAGGGCAGGGAAAAGCTGGCCTAATACATATCAACCCAAATTGAATACGTTACAAACAGATCCTATTTTGAATGCACCTCAAAGCAGTTTTTATTTTGGAGATGTTTCCCCGGAAACGGGAGGATGTGTTTTGCGCAGCTTCACCATCCGCTGCGGACCCTCTGGTGAGCTGTTGTCCCGTTATGCGCCAGTCGACTGACCGCGCGAGCCTGGAGCGGCGTGCAGGGATGAGACGGCGGAGAAAAGAGGACGAGAGTCGCCAAGAGATGTTCGTAAAACTCCCCTGCGGGATTTGGAAATCGTTTCGGTGGATTTTCATGCTCTGTCTGGCAGGTAAGAGGGGGAGAAGGATGAGGTCCGGTCTGCGCAAAGGCGCGGGACAGGTTGTTAAACTCACTCTAGGAGTAACGGTGAAGTTATGGCTGTTGTGCAGCTGTTTTAACTCAAATAACTCCGCGCGTGTTACACGACACAGAGAGATGGGGAGAGTTACAGTTATTGTGGTTGTGTTCGGTCCGGCTCTAATTGGTCCTTCTGTGTCAGCAAGCGTGCGTTATTTGGCTCATTCTGCTGTCGACTTTGACATTGGATTTAGTCATGTGTGAATTATCCGTCCTGAAGCTTTGGGGGTGGTGGATTAAGAGGTTCAACTTCAGACAAATTAAACTAGGTCTCCAAGTGACATGGTGGTTGGACCCATATAGACGAAATATGTCTGTAATACCTAAACAAATCTGAATTCTTCAGGCAAATATGTCAAGGACTTGGGGATAAGTAAGACATATCAAGATTTGTAAAACTATACTAAGCGTGTGCATGTGTGCTAATTTTATTCAACTATTGCTTTTACAGGATTATAACTATCAGTTGGAAATAATTCTAAATGAAAATATGATATCCTTTTTAACAAAGGCAAGAACCAATGTCTGTTTTCTTGTTAAAGAGAGAGTACGAAGCATAAAACTGCAGCATGCTGGTGAGCTTCTTGTCAGCTGTGTTGTACTATAACTACAAGTTTTTTATTTACTTTTAAGGGTGCACACCATATTTATCCCGAGGCAGTAGCCTATAGCAATAATACAAGCATGTCTAAACTAAGACAATGTGATATTTAATCCTATCAGGCATACTTTATTCAAATGTCTAAGAATGCTGACTGTCCATTTACCCTCTTTCTTCCATTTTCTCCTCCGGGGGTGGCCTCCACTGAAAACTAATAAATCCAGGAGAGCCCTTCAGCTTTGGGATCACAGGAGGACCAGCCTTATGGCTTCTGTTTCTTTTTTTCACAGTTGTTAGAAGCAAGAGCAAGATCAGCCCCTAGGAATTTTATTTTGCTCAGTTGCCCCCTTCGGGGGAAAACACAGAGCTGTACAGTTTTGCTCTTTATCATCACTCCTTGGGTAGATCACAACACTGAGCGTAAAACCGATTTAGGGTGATTTATGCAAGGACAGGTTGTTGATGTTGCAGTGGTGTGGTGTGGTGGTAGTACTGTCCTTCACAGGAAGCCGGTTCCCGGTTTCTGCGTGGGTTCTTTCCAGGTACTCTGGCTTCCTTCCACCCTCCAAAGGATAAGGTCAATTGGACACTCCAAATTGCCCCTGGGAGTGAGTGTGTATGGTTGTTTGTCTCTGTGTGGCCCTCTGATGGACCGGCAACCTACCCCCCTTAATTCTTGTTAAGCATAAAGACAATAAAACTCGTCTGGTCTGATTTAAGTGGTGTTATTTCTCATGACACCAGTGTTGCCCTGCTTCAGTTTAGCCTCACCTCCCATCCCACTGCTCGGCCAGACCAACAACACAGGCAAACAGGAGCTTGCACAGATGGTTCTGGGTGTGTGCATGTTTCTTTTTCTTTTCTGATGAAATATCCCTGTGCCGGGATGGGTTGCGTCTGAACTGCTGGACCTAAGCTTCATGCATGTTCTACACACTCACCGGTCCATCACAGGGATGAGCGACCACACACGCTCACGTTCACTCCTAGGGGCACTTTGGTGTGTCCAATTAACCTGACGAGTATGTTTTTGGATGGTCGGAGGAAGCCAGAGAACCTGGAACCTATGAAGACACAGGAAAAACACGCAAACTCCACACAGAAAGCTCCCCTGGGGACTATAACCGCCCGAGCTTTCCACTAAACAGTAACCATAGTAATTATCCCTATCCCTTCTCATCCACAGGTGTCTTCCCTTCATCTTGCTCAGGCGTTAACGTGTTCGTGAGAGACGAGAGAAGGTACACCATCCTCTTCCAGTCGGTGGTTCTGCCTTGCCAGTACACCAGCGTCTCCACCCAGACCGCCGTGGTGCAGTGGGTCTACAAGTCCTATTGTCGAGACCGAACCAGGGACTCCTTCAGCTACTCCGACAGCCTGAGCGGAGGCCTGGGAGGGGGCGGGCACGCGGGTGGGAACGGCGGGGTCAGCGGGGGCTACGAGGCTGCGGGCATGGCGGCCAACTACCTGGACTGCTCGGACAACAGCCGCACCGTCCGGACGGTGGCCTCCATCTCCGGATCCTCGGTCACAGTATCAGAGTTCTACAAGACCAGAGACATCTCGATCATTAACAGTAAGACGCTTCACCCCCCAGTTGGGTCTTTTTGGATATCCGTCCCCAAAATGATATGTTCCTGGATGTTCCTTGAATGATAATTTCCCCAGTACATTGCCGTCAAGTTTTCTTTGGAATTCCAGCAGCATTCACATGTAAAGATATCTCTACAGCTTCTTGGCCTTCATCCCCCCATCTTTTTTTTTTTACTGTTACAACTTCTAGGATCACACTAAGGACATGGCATGCATGTGTGTGCGTGCAAACGCTGGCAGAATACAGAGAGGCAGTCTTGTTTGCAGCCCTCAGATTTATGGAGCTCTGACTCCGTCTGAAGAATCGCCCCTCTCTTTACAAGTTAGGATTGGAGACAAAAGTAATGGTTTTCGTGCTGTCCTCTCATTCATCTTGACCTCTTGTTCCTTCCTTCTCATGTACCTCAGTAAACCACTTTTTTTTTTTTTTCTCTCAACATCCCACCATACAGACTCTCACTTTTGTCAGCATAAGGCCTTCTTTGAGTTAGCATTCTCTCTCTTTCCCCCTGTCCTTTTCCGCCTCCCTCCCCCTTTCTGTCTTGAAGCAGGTCTGTGAAGTGGTGTAGTAAAGAAAAAGAGAAAAAGTTAAAGCTTTGTTGCCTTTGGAGACGCCCAGTCATCCATACCCATGTAATCCTATTCAGGGTCACAGCGAGATTGGAGTTTTTCCCTGCATGCACCAGGCAGGGGGTGCTCTGGTGGTCACATGACTAACCCACTCACACCAGCACAGTTAGCAACACAACTCAGGGAGGAGATACACATATAAAGACAATTAGGTTTCTCTAAGAAGAGATTAAGCATTGTAAGGTGGCTTTTTCATACACATATCAGAGACTTGAGTCAGGAAAAGGAAAAACACAGGAAAGGAATTATACAACCCATTTCCTGTCTGCTGTATTTTTACATGGGGGTGCTTACAATAGAGCTACCGGCCCCGTATTGTCTGCTGTGTTTGAGTCTCGGGGCCCCGCTGTATCTGGATTCAGAGTTTCTGCATTTTCCTGAGCTGGTCCAAGCACAGCACAAAGAATGTGGAGACTATTTTCAGACTCCGTGTATTTGTAGTTTGTTTGAAACCTTTCTGTTTCTATTCAAATGTCCGGTGTGTTGAGTTTAGAGATGCGTGCTGCTGTCATCTCCTCGCTCAACTAACAGGAACCAGATGTGAAAATATATGTGGGAGCAATGCTCCAGTAGCTTGAAGAATATCATCACATCCCAAAATTACAATGAGAGGAAGCTAATACCTGAGGCCTGATTCCCAAACCTTATGGACAGTCTTCCCAGAGTAACCCATGGGCATACTGAAGCCTCTGTGTTTGGAATGAGCAAAGTGGTCTCTGCGTTTTAGATTCAGTAGACAGAAACAGAAGAGAGTTTTGTGTACTTCCATGTCTTGGGAGATGCCTGCTAAAAGACAGATTGTGATTTTCTGTCCTTCATCATATCTTTACTGTCGATCTGCCTGCTTTCATAGAGGCCGACCTGCGCATTGGTGAGGTCCAGTGGGGGGACAGTGGAGTATACATCTGCAAAGTGGTTATATCTGATGACCTGGAGGGACAGAACGAAGCATCAGTGGAGCTCCTGGTTCTGGGTAAGGTGCTACCACTTTCCTAACGGAACAGTTGTTCGGGATTATGTGTTCTTTTGTGTTTTTATTTTGTTAAAAAACAAAGCTTATGATCTGCCCAGGCTATAACACTTTGTTAAAATAAGATAAAAATGGTCTTACTGGCTAAACATGCATACAGAAACATTCTGAATATTGAACTTCATCCAAATTAGACAATAATCTTACAGAAGTTGCCAGTGTGACATTGAAGTCATATGTCTGTTTACCAGTTACAGACTTATATCCATGTTACATCCCCTATGCTGCTTCAATATTTTATGCCCATTAATGATCTGATTTACAACAAGCAGAGGCACTTCCTGGACACGCTAGGAATGATATCCAAATTACTTATGGCTGTGATTTTGTCTCTCTTTCCCATGCGCCGTAATATTTGTGCGATGCGACTGTCTGCTTGTGTGTGTTCATTACAAATGTTACCACAGAAACCTCCGGGAGGCAGGATGGCTCCTTGGTGCCCTAAAACTTTCTGAGGCTGAACTTTTGTTAGGTTGGCACTTAAGAGACTAATGTGTGTGCACAAAGATACGCACACCGGGGCAGTGCAAACGTTCAAAGCTCCCTGCGGATGGAGGGAATTCAGTCGGGGTCGGTTTCACCTCCGGGTACGTTCACGTGTTCCGGTCAAAAGTGGCCTGTTCCAAAGCCGCAAAGAATCGATGGGCTGGCTCTGCCTGTGTGCAGTTTTTAAACTGGCACGATGGCTAAATCCATCATGGGGTCTTCTTGTGGCCGATGTGCCACGTGAGGCACTTGTTTCCATAACAACAGTTGGGGCCAGGCTCAGGGGGCCTTTTGTCTTTTTAGCAAACAGCCTCGCAGAGGAGAAGACAGCGAAGATTTAATGATGTGGAGGAGGCACGGCGGAGCGCGGCCATCCAATAGACGGAGGGGGATGCCATGTTAGACGCTTCCCTGATGGGGGTCTTTTGAGAGCTGTGTGCCTGATTAAAAAGAAGAGAGATTCCTGTATTCCAGCAAAGTGGTGAACAGTTTTGTCCCAAAACATCTATCTCCAGTGTGGGCACTAAGTTAGTTGCAGGTCCTGATTCCAGCAAGGACTCCTTTAGACAAATAGGCTCTGGACAGTTTCACCTGAGAGGTTCTGGTGGTGTTTTTGAGCAAACCTCTTTGCTGTAAGCTCTCGGCATGTTTGAAGGTAAAACCCGGCCTCCAGGCAGATTCAGCCGTCAGTATGAATTCCACAAGTGAGCTGCATTCTGATGCTAGAGAGATGCATGATAAAGACACAGATGCACAAAAAGCTAGCAGAAACATAAAAACAGTCTCTTAAATCCAAATGGTGACTAACATGTTCATGAATAAATATATTATTTTCGGTTTTCCAGGCCAGAAAATAACAACTATAGCCTTCCCTAAAGTCACAAAGTCAGGTATGCGCATTGTCAGCCAAAGAGAACCCAACGTAGTCCCACAGTCTTGATTTTTCTCTACCAGCTCTCCTTCTGTCCTCTGAAATAATCCCACGGTCAGCAGAGAGAAGCTTACAAAGCTTCACTTTGCTCTGAAGGATCTCTGCATAAATCTGTAAAGTTACAGATGCACTTTTTTGTACCAGCCCGCAACACACACATACGCTTCTCTCCCATCATTATGATTCATTCAGACATTTGTGGACCTCCTAATGACTGTCTTAAAAGAAAAACGGCTAGTAGGGTGTGAGTAGCACTCCTAACCGGAACATCATTTTAAAATTATTGAATTTTAATGGCTTTAGTTTCCTTATCTTATTCATTTGTGTCTTTTAAACCCTTTCGATGTAGGAACAACTGATATAGCAATCCATTAAAATGATAGTTTCCATTAGAATAAAGTATTGTTGAATTTAATTTAAATTATTTGAATGTAGTTTTGATTCAACACTCAATTAATCACTGATTGTGTGTAAATAAACATCATGGATAATTCTAATGACATTTTATAATGGGGCGTTTCAGTTCATGACGATAAATAGTTGCTTCTTTTGTCCTTCTCATGTTCTGAAAACAATGTCTTCATTTGACAACAGAACCACACACATCATGTATTTCCCAGTAGCAGCTTTAATGTGTTACATATATGTTTTCACATGCCAGTGATAAAATCCCCCCACAAATGGTGGCCCAGAAAACTTTTAGACTGAAAACGATATTAAACATCTAGTTCAGGCAGAACACTTTTTTGCAAAATTCCAGTGGAAAACGTGGATTCATAGGCTAACAGGTTGGCAGTGAATGCCAACAAATATTTCCGAATGGTTGCAATCGTCAGATAACTTTTTTTCTTCTCTCTTGTTTGAGAGCTCAACCTGAAAGATTTTGCACTAGTAACCTTTCTCACAGCTCATGTCTATTTATCTTCACAAGAATGAATCACATTTCAGTCTATCTTAACCTTGTGTCGCCTTTAATATGAATCATGTGCTGATTGTGCCCATCATCTGCTCCGATAGCACAGCTTTTCAGAGACGAGGCCAGAACAGCCCCTCATGCATGCATCTGTTGACCTCTCTGTCTTTTTTATCACAAACTTCCTCTGAATTTTACTGCATTTTTGTGTTCATTACCTTTCAATGCATGTGGCTGCGCTGATAACCTTATTGCTGAATTCAGATTTTTATAGCGACTCCATTCCCTCTTCTCTCCTCTACTCTGGTCATCTTTGCTATGTCTCTCTCCAGGTTTCTCTGGAGTGCCTGAAGATCTCCTGCCAGACTTTGATTTGAAGATTATGCCAGGTAGGGGCATAATGTACTCCTTCCCCTGCCTCTCTTTTTCTTTTTATTCCTACTAACCCGGCTTCCTGTTTCAACACCTTTAATTACATCTGAATCAGTGTGTGCACACACACACACAAAAAAACTCTAAGCCTATCTAAGCTGCATTTTCAGGTTGATTTTTCACTTCAATTCATCCCTAACGTTCAGGATAATCTCTTTAAAAGGTCATATGCACCAACCACTGAACCGTTTTAGCGTGCTTAATAGGACGACTTGGCTCTGATATGTAGAAAAAGACAATGAGAGAACTTCAGACTTTTTAATACCTTGAGTAATAGTTCCTATGCTCTTTTCAGAGCCTTTAGTAAGAGGACAGACGGATCCACACCCATCAAATAATGAGCTGGCTGTTGCTTCCACTAAGAGGAGCTTTGTGGGAAAACGACAATTACGGTCATTACAGTTATTTACGGCGGTGGTGTGCGGGTCATCCAACAGCATTTGTCGAGTACCCAGAGAGGAGGGAGGGAACTTTGTTTATTACCCACCAAATTCTTCTAATACCTTTTTGATAATCCTAGAGTTTTAAAGAGGCAGTGAGTGAATGTGTCGGCAACTCGGCCTGAATTGTTACAGGATTCACTTTTTTCTGTGGTGACACTTACATTAGCAGGTGTTCTTCCCATATTATCTCATACACCATGCTCGGAAGCAGTGAGGTGTTCAGAGGGAGTTTGAGCGGTGTGTGTTTGTGTGTGTGTGTAACTTTGTGGAGGAGTCGTCCTTGCAAATGAGATCACATTACAAGCCATTTTGTTGTAACAGCCAACTCCCCGCTATCTTCCAGAGCAGCATAAACCGTCCTTTTCCTTCCTTTAGCAAGAACAGATTTCCTGCGAGTGTGTGTCTTTGGTTTTGGGTGTATTTGTGTGTCTCAAAGGGAGTGTTGTGCTCAGTGATACATTGTTGAAGATTTCCTTATCTGCCCTCTCCTTCCCTTTCCTTTATTTTGTCCTCAAAGACAAGATACACGCAGTCTTATCAGTTGTACTGATTGCATCTTTCGTTTTAGCGCAGCAGAACTTCAGCAGCCATTTCGCATTTTGTTGTAACTCACGCTCTCTCAATTTAGAATTTTTCTTTTTACAATTTAATGCCAAAAAATCTGATTCCTGACAGCAGGAACGACTGCTGAACTCAAAACCAATTTAAAACAATGTGAGAGACATTTTTCACTCATCAACCTAATCAAGTTTTTGCAGTTTATTATTCCTTCCTACATCCTAAATTCTAAACATCCTCTTTCTATAGGAAACTTAGTAAAAAAAATAAGACACCTCCAAGTAGCTCTCGTACATACAAATATATGGGGGAAATTAATATATATATATGTGTGTGTACATGTGAGTGTGTCGGTGTGTGTGTGTGTGTGTGTGTGTGTGTTTTTGTGTGTGTGTGTGTTTTTAGTAGATATGTGTGTATATTAAAAAAATCTTTGTTTTTCATTTTTGTTATCATTTGTGACTTAAATGACAATTTACTTGAGAGGTCACACTGTCCGTCTATCATGGATTTATCATTTTCCGCAGACTTCATGGTCTGCATGATAAAATATTTGTGGCCGGCGTGTTAAACAGTGACGCATCAGTGATTTTGATGTAGAGGCTATGAGCCCAGACTTATTTTAAATGACATATCTGTGAAGATTCTCAGTCATCCAGGTCATGGTCAACATTGAAAAGTTCAGTTTAGGCAACTGGACGTGAAGTTTTCTAGAAGACTCAACTCATTTTCAGGACTATGTCCTCCGTGTGTTTGCTGCATAAAGTCGGAGAAAGAGAAGTGACAGAAAGGAGCTTTTTTTCGTTGTAAAAAAGCTTGAGAAAGATCACTTGAACTGCTGACTAAGACATCTGACATTTTGTTGCTTTTCAGATGAGTTTTTACCTACCTGAAGATTGTCGAATTTGTGGGTTAGCAAACATAAAGTTGATAGTTGGGATTCTCGTTGCATTCTGGGTGATGTCGTAATGTGGTCTTTGCAGCTAATCGTGTTTTACTGCAATGGGAAACACTCATTTAACCAAGCGTGACTTAAAAGGTGTCTGCATTCATCTGTGCGTGTCATTTTCTCGCAGAGTGGGTGTTTGTGGTGGCCGTGGTGCTCGGCAGCGTCCTGTTCCTGCTGCTGGTGGGGATCTGCTGGTGTCAGTGTTGCCCTCACTCCTGCTGCTGCTACGTCAGCTGCTGGTGCTGCCCGGACACGTGCTGCTGCCCCAGACACTGTGAGCTGAAACACACACACACACACACACACACACACAGCAGCAGAAGTCTGGGCGGAGAATACACAGTCCGTCCTGAATAAAAAAAACATGTCATTTTCCCAGTATACGAGGCAGGTAAAGGCATAAAGACAGGCACCTCCACGCCTCAGACACCTGTGTACCCTCCGTATTTTGTCTCCGGTGTGCCAACCATGGTCCCCATCGCCCCGCCCTCTCTGGTGGACAAAGTCTCTTCTGTTCCACCCTCAGATGGCACCCTGGTCACAGCAGGTGAGGTCACAACTTTTGTCTCTAGATGCTTTGGAAGGACTTCATTTTGAGAGTTTGGGCGGACTCCTCACCTTCAGAAAAATTATCTAAGATATTCCTGATCTACAGTGAAGGATTTTCAATTTGTCGATTTAAAAAGGTTTATGAGCAACACTCTTGTCGTTATGAAAATTTGGTTTTGGTGAATGCAAAGTCTCACTCCCACTCACAAGTTAATACTTCGGTGCTCCAATCCCCAGCTTCTATACTGTCACAATGTTCTTTCATTCTGTGTCAATATTTAGGATTTATGCATTTTTATGACTTTAAGACCATATCTGAAATGTCATAACATAATGGACCGCAGTGTGCGTTTATATAACTTTGATAAGTTGTGCGGAATACAAAAATGTGCTTAAAGATCAAGACGGATTGTAGTGCTCCATTCACCTGAGTCAATTATGTGCATATCTCCAGTGCCCATGCACGCCGTAGGGCTTCCCTACCGCGTGCCTTCACCACAAGATCAGGACTCTCTCAGGGTGCTACAGTATGTAGAGAAGCAGCTGGCTCACTTCAACCCTGCCAGGTCCAGCAGCCACCAGTGTAAGCCTCCCCAGCCCCCTCTGCAGCTTTGCTACTGAAGCATGCTGATCTGGCCTGATAGCCTCATTTCAACTTGTTATCTTGAGCTTGTTTCGCCATGGCCTGCTGCTCCCTGGCTTTCTGCCTGCTGGATTTTCTATCATTCAGATGTGAAACATTAGCAGGTGTGCATGCCAACTTACCTGAGGGAATACGTTTTAACTGCTCTGATTCCAACACTCTTTCACACTCTGACGTTCTCTATCTGTGCGTCTCGCTTTGGGAGAAAACATCTCTTGGGTTGATGTTTCATATCCAGGCAGTCTTCATTGACGATTTTATTTTGACCCCTCCAGCTTCCAGCCTTTCTGAGCTGAGCTCCCTCCACGAGGGGGAAACCAGCTTCCGTCAAACCTACCGAAACGTCCAGAAGAAAGCTCTGCCGGCCATCCCCGACCGGGACCCTCAGCCCGAGCCCGAGCCGAGGGGTTACCGGGACGATCGCAGCCCGGAGCCCCAGCGCCACCGCCACCACCCGCCTTCCCCCCACCGCTACCGGCAGGAGCCCGACCCCGAAGGCCCCGACTGCCCGGAGGAGCCCCTGCTCCCGCGCCGACACAGCGACGACCCTCCTCCTTCCTCTCAGTCCCACAGAGTCAGCCGGGGTCAGAGGCAGCAGAACCTCAGCGAGGAGGACCAACACAGCAGGTGCAGATATCTCTGAAAGCATCAGCAGACCCGGACTTAAAACACATCTGTGGTGTTTTGATTGTTTTTTTTTGTATTTTTCTTGAGCATTTTCACTTACGCCCATATTCATGAGTATCAGTTGTTCTTGCATGACTCACGGCCCCTCAAGTTTAGCATAAACTGTATGAGGCTTTGTGTTATAGAAGCACTTTGCATAAACACATTTGATGTTCCTCAGAAGGAAAGATGGACACTGGTAAAATTCAGACACTTTTAGAAAGATTTGGTTGATTTTATTCAAACTTTTAAATAGGGTGCAAAATACAATACTGATATAGCTTAAAAAAGGGAAATCATTTACTAATTTTCAGGACTATGTCCTCCCTGTGTTTGCTGCATAAAGATGGAGAAAGAGAAGTGACTTCATCCCACTTTTTGATGGATTAGGAATAACAGAAAGGAGCATTTTATTTTGTTGTAAAATAGCTTGAGGAAGATCACCTGAACTGTCGAATAGGACATCTTATTTTTTGTTGCTTTTCAGACGAGTTTTTTCCTACCTGAAGATTGCCGAAATTGTGGGTTAGCAAACATAAAGTTGATAATTGGGATTCTTGTTGCATTCTGGGTGATGTCGTAATGTGGTCTTGGCAGCTAATCGTTTTTTTACTGTTATGGGAAACACTCATTTAACCAAGCGTGACTTAAAAGGTCCACTCAATGGTCCCGTTTTTTTTTTTGCAGGTGGAACCCTCGTTCGGAACACCTGCACAGAAAGGCCTACCGTAGCGCCGGGCGGACGGGCTCGCTGGATGAGCTGGAGGAGTTTGCTGCCTCTTACAAGCAGCGGCTGGACAGAGGAGCGGAGAGGAGGGAGGACCGAGGGGGAGACTACGAGATGGAGCTCCGGGAGTTCGGTCGATATCCCTCCTACCGCCACTGTCCCCCGCAGTATTACCACAACGATGAGGACGAGTTCAGTGACCGCGAGGATCTACCCCGACAGAACAAGACCGGCAGACAGAACATAAGCCCACTGCCTTCTCCCAAAAAGAGAAGGGGCACATGGGAAAGGGAGAACTCCGTCCCACCTCCTCCCACAAGGGGTCCGTCGTCAACCTCATCCCAAGAGAAGGACTACGACGCCACGTTCCTGAACAGCCTCCTGGAGCGTAAGGCTAAGTTGCGAGGGGTGGGCCCGGGCAGAAGCGAAGACTCGGACCCCCCCTCGAGGGGCAGCTCCAAAAAGAGCAGCGGGGAATCCGGCCGGCACCGCAGCCGCTCTCCCGGCGGCAGGCCCGAGGCCGACCCCCCGACCCCCGCGTCCGAACCGGACAGAGGCCGGACCGACAGGCCGTCCCCACGCCCGCCCCCGGCCAACCCCCGGCCCCCTCAGCCGCCCGCTCATTCCCTAACCGTCCGCAGAGAGGAGCCCAGAGACAAGTCCCGGAAGGTGGTGAGTGACAGCCCCGTCTGCAGATGATCGGCAGGATTTTTTACACATGTGATAGCGAGACGGGGGTGTTCATGATCTCCATTCTGTCGTTTAAGAAGTAGTTAACAAAGTCTTTTTCTTTCAAATGACACGCCTTTGCTGAACAGCTATCACATTGGTTTAGGCTTGCTGAACAGCTGAACGACTAACATTTAGGATTGTAGTGGTTTCCATTATAAGAAAACTTTTGTTATCAGGCACTGAAACACAAATTGTCGCATCCATCTTCTGGGATGGATTGGAAAGGTTAAGGCCTGGTGGAAGCCTCTTTGAACTGGACTGGACCTAAGCGGAATCAGACCAAAACACATACAAAAACATTAGCTTTGAGAATCATTTAGGTTTCACATTATGGTGTTTCTGTTGAATATTGAGGAAGGAACGAGCCATTAACACTTAGGATTTCTTAATGTGTTTTAAAACAGTTGAAAAGTTCTGTGTTAAATTCACCCCCCCCCCCCCGCCCCTCCTGCAGTCTGAGAAAAGATTCCTCTAAACGGAACCAGTATTGACTGTTTGCAGGGTGGGGCTGTGCAGCTATTTTGCATTTTTTGTGGGCAAACGATGGACTAAGAAGCTAAAGCTAGCTGACAGCTTACACAACTGTTGTTGTCTAAAATCACAGCCCACTGATTCTGAGATTTCAAATATCATGAAATGTATATCATATTTCTGTACACAATGAGATTGTCCGTGGCCTGAGAGGGATGTTTCTTCATATTTAAATCAAAGACACAAAGACACTCCAGTTGTTCTTGGGTTTTTGGTACAGGCCTACATTAAGGATTTGGGGATTCTGTGTGGGAAGCTGTGTACACTCTTTGTAGGCCTACAGTAAGTGCTGTTGTTGTACTTTTGACAGGTCAGGTTCAGATGCTGCCAGAATGAATACTAGGTAGACTACTCCATTCTGTATCCAAATATTCACCATAACAACTATAACCGGTTGTTTTCTCACTGACGAACCTTGGGTCAAAATGCTTTTCGACATTAAAACATCAGCTTTCCGGCCTTTAATAAATCAGAAAATAAAGTCGGGGGAGAAAAAAAAGGAAAAGCAGTTTGTGCCAGGTTCCACATCACCAAATTAACCCTTTGGCTAATAGAATTTAGCTGCCTCACACTCCTATGTTACTGTTTACTGTTGTTTCTCTGCTTACTTTGACACTTCTGTCCCCTCCAGAGCACCCTCCTCAGCCGGGATTCCCTCATCGTCTGATGGACCTGGAGCCACAGAGACTGCCAGCTCTGAGCGGACTGAATCCAGCCAGTTTGGATTTACAAACCATATGCAAAAGACAGCTGCCTGTGAGACATAATGAGAGCTTATGTGCCCTCTGCCTGTGACACCACCGAGGGATGAGGTCAGCGGCCCGTGTCTCCTTTATCTCCGTCGGACTAACACTTGACTAATGTGACCTGGACCACCCCCCCCCTCAGCGGGACGCCATCCGCCTCATCCCCTTTAGAAAAGGCTCCGGAGCAGACTCGCTTCTCGCTTCGTGTACAATGAGTGCATTCATTTCCCTTCGATGAGATATGTGAATTAAAAGAAAACACGCACAGTGACTGACAACACCGTTACTGTAAAGGACACACTGTTGTAAACAGTTAACACGCTGTGTCGTTCAGTGACACGTTCAAGGACCGAAGCTCTGAATTGGCCTAGGCGTTACCTGAAGCTCTGAGAGGGAGCACAATATTAGCTCTCTTTCAGTAATCTCAAACAATGGGGAAAAGCCTTATCTGTTTTGGGGCTTTCAGCTAAGTACATCAGATTTTTTTATTTATACGCTTCTTCTCAAGTAGCTCTGAGCGACTTAAGTACACAAGCGAGTGAGATAAGGTTCAAAGCCAAGTCTCAAGAATGATTTGTTAGAAAAATCCTTTTGAATGGTACAACCCCAGCATAAAACGGAAACCGAACCGATTGCGGATGTATGAGTTTGAGAGCGTGGATTAAATACGATATCTCACTTACAGTGTGGATGGACTAACTGTTCCAAATAATCTTTGACCAAGTGTGAGCCAAGGTTTGGTCCAGGACTTACAGCGCTGAGGCTTCCAAAGCAGTGATACTGCTTCATCCCCATCCCATATTTCATCCTCCATTCCTAACATGCTCAAAACAGAGCTGTCCCCAAAGGGACCGCAATCCTTTGTGGCATTGTATTTCTTAAAAACATTAATGTATGTATGTACTGTAATATTAATGTACATTAGAGTATTGAGTCTTTAAAAATGTTTTGTGGTGAAGAATGAAATTATTTTATGTTGTGTGTTTATGTGTATTGTGTAATGTGATGGCTAACCTTAGAATGACAGTGTTTGGTCATGAGTCATGGTGCGTTTGGGTTACTGTAAATCAGCCTACAGCTGAGTCAGAGGCTAATCCCACACATATTATCTGCTGCACACTGAAACACACAGCAGTCAGCCACTTTTTTGCATCTGTTATGTTACGCATGTAAACCGTCAAACCCAGCTCCACAGCCCCCCCGTTTACCACCCCCACCCCCCATCCCATCCACAAGGCCTGATCGTTTTATTGCTTGGTTGTTGTCACTGGGATTTCTGCTGTTTGGTACTGACATCCGCACGTTTGCAAGTGTGTGCGTGTGTGTGTGTTTGTGTGTGTGTGTGTGTTTGCTATCTGGAGAGAGATGACTCCTTACTTTTCTGCAAAGAAGACAATGTGTGGCTGAATATGACTCATGTCATTGTTCATTGTTGTGATCACAGACGAGTTGTTGACCGCACAGCTGTGTCACAACTCCCATTGGTTCTGCCAGATATCTTCCCTGTTTACGTGTTGTTGTTTTTTCTTTTTTTATTGTGTTTCTGAAGTTTGCCATTTTGGAAAAATGCAGGATGGAAGATGTTGAGACCGGCTGTGGGTTTCCCTCACAATTTGTCATCAAATAAAAAGAAACATGCCCCCCCCTCTCCCCCCTGGTTTCATTGGAGCCTTTTTTAGCTGTGCTTTTGTCCCGTTTTATACTAAACTGGTGGGGTTTCTGGACACAGGAATGGCTGCTAACTAGTTTCTGCTTACCATAAAGATGGGGAAAAGTGAAGAAACAGTCACGTTTTATACATTTAGTGATGCAGTTGATTACTCTAATTAACGACCACTAAATACCATCACAGACGTCCTCCGAATTAACAAAAAAAAACATTATGGGCACTTAAAATAGTTTTTGTTTTACACTTTCCAACTTTATTGCCATTCAAAACTGACATAAAGTTTTTTTTCTGATTTTTTTCTTTCTTTTTTTTTAGATATCTGCAAGAGAAAAAATATTTAACTCAACACATCTGCTTGGAAACCAAGTCTTAAGATCTAAATACTACCTTAAATACACATTTGAATAACTGAACAGCGATCTTCGTGGGGAGGAGAGGTCTACAGAGATTCAGTAGTTCACTGATTCAGATGTGCTGTGTGCTTCTGATGTGAGGGAGCGGTTAAAGCAGCCACCGCTCGCAGCTGGTTGTTATCTCAGGAATGTCTTAGAGCGGCTCTCATCTCCACAGAGGCATCAGCAGGGAAATGACATCAGCGTACAGCACAGCCAGCCAAACGTTTGTTTTTTAAAGCGCTCCTCCCGCCGGATTGGCTTAGATGGTTGGAATACTTTTTAACATCAATGCTTCCCACAACTGAAACTGGAATCCTTGTCAGAAAACCTTTGGTTATGAATATCAGAGGGTATCGGTTTTATGTTATGCCCTGAATATTAAAAAGTGAATGTACCCATATTAAGACGGATTCAGTGTCTTACTTAGATGGTTTTGGTGGTTCAGGTTGTCTGTTGGACATCTAAATATACAAGCTCCAAAAAAGTTAAACACTGTAAAATATAGATGATGGCAAAGCTGTTGTCAAAATTATCTGAAAATCTCACAAACTGATGTTTTATCCCTAATCGAACAAAAAATCAAACGTATCAAACCCTGAAAGAGAGTCTGTTCTCAGACGTTGAAAGTTTCAGGTCATCTTGTAGTTGTGCAGCATCACCTCTGAAACACCCGGGAGCCAAAAAGGACCACAGGTGGACTTTTGACAGCAAAACTTGCCCTTTTTTTCCCTGACGTAGGATTGTGTGCGCTCAGTCCTGCTTCCTGACAGTTGTGTTACGTGTTACAGGATGGCACAAATGGCCTCATGTGCTGAATGGAGTGGACTGTTGTCAGGTGGGTCAGTCATCTGGATCCTTACACTACCCAGATCCAGCATGTGGTTTAACATTGTCCTGTCAAATATATGCCACGCCCCCTCTCAAAACATCTGGATGGGAGACCAGTCACTCTATTTGTCCAGATTCATGTTGTTTACGCCTTTCTGGAGGTGAAAACTGCCAGCTTTGTAGATAGGCATGTTTTCATCAATCTTACATGGACCAAAAGGCTCACCCGTAGAGTCATCATCCTAGGCTGAGCACAATGTTTTTGCTCTAAAGCCTCTGCAGATGCCCAGGATTCAGCCGAGCACGGGCAGGAAACTCAGGGTGGATCTTGGCAGACATGTCCATGAAAAATAGTTGGGGGGGGAGGGGGGGGTTGCAGGTGTAGATGAGTTTTTTCCCAGAGGCAAAATGACTCGGAGCAAAGCTTTTTGAGCATTAAAACACTACTTTGGACAAGGAAAATTCCTCAGGAAAAAAACTGGCTATGTGCAAGAGATGCCATTTGTGTGCACATGGAACGAGGTGTTTATGAATTAGAGCATGTTTAATGGATGTGTGTTTTCAAAAAAAGGGAGGACAGAATATACAGATCTGTTTAAAAACTAAGAATACATTTAGGATGACATCTGGTGGTGTAGTTTCAGAGCTACACATCTACTATTTATCATTATTCAATTAGCAACTTTTGGTACAAATTGGTACAACGTTAAAACTCATTCCCAGGGTTTTGTGAAGTACCTTCCAAAGTTCAGTGTAATAACAGTTGCTTTTCAGTGCTTTTGGAATCAGTTATCATATTTTATTAGTATAAAAGAGGGTTTTTTTTCATATTGAAGAAAGTCCTAATTCTCTAAATGGGATTGTTGAATTACTTTGAGAATTACTCTGCGTCATTTCTACTGTAGTGACGTAAATCTACTGAATCATTACATTTGAATCATATGGGATATACCTCCACAAAATCAAGTAAGAATAAACAGTGATTCATTCGGACAGAGTAAGTGCATTTATTCAAAAGACTTTGTGAGCAAAACCTTACAAGAAAGAAGAGTCTGTTATTGGTACTTGGGAAATTTTAATGATGCATAATGTCATAAGATTAAATTAAGAAAAGGCCTCCATTTTGTAAAAATGTATGATTTACATACAGAGCTCAGGAAAAGGTCAACTGATCTCAGCATCATTTGCATATAAAGATAGGGATGTCTGAAACAGACATTCTTTGCCTAGTGAGATCAGGACTCCTCCAAGTATTGATTCATTTCTCTGATGCCAAATATTTCAAACTGTTTTGGGTATTTTTCACTTGTTTTTATCCTGCTGAAAAAGCAGGTCTTGCCGTTTTTTTGCCAAATCAAAATTAAGATTTTGCTCAGTCTTTAACAGGGATATCTTTAAGAAAAGCATCAGTAAATATCTTGTCTGTAAGAAGAAGATTGAGGAATTTTCAGTATGCCCTGAGGAATTCATGTCTGAACAACATTGTATCAAGTCACCCCTTCAGATAACATATTATAAGCATATTACAAGCTGGAGTATTTGATATTAAACTTTAATTTTCAAATTAACTTAAACATTGAGAGGCTGTTTGCAGGATGGAAGTCTTCATGAGACATGTTTTGGCTAGATATCTTTAAAGCAAAGCTGCGTCCACATTCAGCTTATCTCGGCCGGTATCAGTCCACCACGCCGGGAGGTTTGGTTTTTAGTTTCACCGTGAGCCACATCAGGTCACCTGTTTTTCCGGTTCTGCCACTCTATCGGCCCCACACAGCTCTTTTTGCCTCAGACTTAATTCACCACGATCACTCTTCTTCTGCAAGCCTACAAGATGTTCTGGGCACTTGGAGGTACAAGTCCTTCTGCAAGGACCCCGTCCTGGAGGACCAGTCCACAGGTAAGACCCACACACCTGTCTGAGGTCACAGGGATGCAGTAGTGGGCCAGAAATACATGTGCTCTGCTCTGGTGTAAAACCTCATATCATTCCTGGAGCAGGAAGTCTACAATTTTTTTTAACTGAATAGAATTAGGAGGGGTCATTAATTACATTGCACACTTCACATAAAAAATACAAGTTCAACACATTTAAGCTAGATTATTACCTTTTTTTGCTGAATAAAGACATTTGTGTTTGTAAAAGTCAAGAAAAATCTAACTGACAGTCAGTCAATCTTCTTCTAGTGATCAATAATCATTTCAAATTTGATTTTAATCCATCTGGCTGTTGTTGAGAAGTAATCTTGTGGAGTAAAGTGGGGAAAAAACAAGGGAAAAATCAGTCTAATCTTGGGACCATTAAGGTTAAGGGAATTATTTCAGTAAATGTGCCTCATTCTCAAAGCTTCCATTTCTAGTTAGCATTTATAATACCTTTATTGGTTGAGGTGTAAAAGGTGTTTTTAGAATAAACAATATCTCTCCCTGCTTTTACAGCTTACCAGTCTGCTCTGCAGCGGGAAAAGGACCCTTTGAAGACATTTCCAGGAAAAACAGTTGGAGTTTTTAAGGGTTCAAAGGAGGTTCCACTTAAAGGAAAAATGGCTTCTGAGAAATTTTCAGGGTTCTCAAAACTCTCCGCACAAGCCTGAGCAAAGACTAGACCTGCCCTCCACATGCAAATGCAGAGAGGTTCATGCAGGATGGAATGTTTTGTCCCTGTTTTCAAAGACAGGAAAGACAGAACAGTGACGCTCTCCTAAAAAGGAGAAAACACGTTGGGATGACATCTAGTGGGTGAAGCTCAGAGCTACACCGGTTTATTTATGACTGAACTGGGACTTTTTTTTCGTTTTTTTTTAAAGATCAAAATATTCACATAAATCTGAGAACACCATGAGATCAGATGTTTTGGTGATCCTTGAAATACATTGAACTCCTCTCTGTAATCCATTTGGGAAATCCTTTCTCCTTTTTGTGTAAAGTAGTCCGTGAAGTGTGACCTGCTTTGCTAAAGTTCAAACTGTGCCGACAACTGACCGAAAAAGATGTGAAAAATAAAGATTTTACATGAGAAACTGCATGTTTGTCTTTCAGAATATGTACAGTAAACAACAGGTCTCAACAGGTAGTCATGGTCCAATCATTAATGTGGACATAATAAGAAAAATAAACTGTTTTCATACAGAATTTTGGAGGTTTGATTGTCTGATCATTCATATGTAACGCGGTTGGCGGTTAGTCCCAGTTTTACTGGTTGTGCCACTCAGAAACGAACGCTCACATGAGTTCTTGCAATGTCCCCACAGTCAGATTCCTGTTTCTTGTTTTGGTGCTTGCTACAATCTGCTGTTGGTCTAGAGCTCCTGAATTTATTTTTACATCCGCACCTGCACAGAAACACAACTAAAAGCCACAGGAAATCACCTGTTTGTGGCCTCTCCACGGGGCTGGTTTGTATTGACGTGTCTGCTGCTCAGCAGGACCAAGAGTAATGACCCGGAAGAGTAACTGTTTAACCTCAGCATAACCTCCAACACATTACCAGCAGGAATGAGTCAGAAAGAGAGCATCTTTAGAGGGGAAAATCTACATCAAGAATCCATACGTATCATGGATGGCAGTGAGGAAGATGGAAAACCGTGGATATAAGTTACACACGTTCTTGTAACTGGTTCTTGTTTCTTCGTTACCGAGGCGTGGAACAGACGGGCTACAGATAGGTTGAAGAATACATTTTATTTGACGAACACAGAAAACTTCTTTCCTCTACCCAAGTCACGTCCCAACTGACGCAACCCCTTTTTTATATACCACGGAACTAACATTCTCCTGATGCGTTTCATATAGAAAACAAATACAAATACATAGAAACAAATACAAATAAAATAATTGATATTTTTCAACTTAAGTAACAAAAATGTAGCGTTATTTTTCTTTACATAGTTTCCTATTGTGATCCATCCATCCATCCGTTATTGGAACTGCCTACTCCCTAATGGGGTCACGGGGGTGACTGGACCCTGGACGGTCTGTCAGTCCATAGCAGGGCCACACAGAGACACACAAGGACAAACAACCACGCGCACTAACACTCACTCCTAAGGGCAATATCCTCAAGGATTGTGATCATTCAAGTTTATTTGTATGGACAAAGCAGATGGAGCAACACTAAACAGCTTTTTCTGCCTTCTTTTTTTCTTTGTTGCTGTAGGTAGTTTCCGGGCTCCTGCTGTTGCTGTGCACCGGGGAATGTATCGGTCTACCTGTGCCTACGTCACAGTTACGGATGAACTCACCTGTTTCGGGGTGTGGCCAGAAGAGAGCGCAGTCTCAGCCACAGAGGCAAGAACATCCTCAGTCAAACGCGCAGGACGCCACCATGACCAGCGCACCTTAGACCCCGTTTAACACTGCCTGTCTTTTGCTCTTGGATTAAAACTCCTTATTTTTAGGCAGACGACTTGTTTTTTTTTCTTTATTCTTTTTTTCCAGGGGTAAACAAATAACTTTTGGCAGGTTTTTTTTGCCATCATGGAGAGGCTTCCTGTCGCCGTCCTCCTGTTTACGCTTCTGAAAGGTCATTTTTTATTTTATTCAGTGATATAATGATGTTTTAAAGATTGTATTCTACCTTTTTATGTAAATTGGTTAAACTGGGCTTGATTTATTTCGAGCTAAGAGACAGAAAGTGTAGTATCGGTCACGTGACAGTATTTGTTGGGGAGGGGGAAACAAACAGGTCATTATTGTTTTGCAATTATATCCCGAGTAATTCGGCACGTTGCTGTTGAAATGTGTCGCAATGACGGTATCTGAGCACTAAGTCTGGGCGGGTACCGGCCGGTTTCAGTCCACTTAGCCGGGATGTGTGGTTGGTAGTTTCACAGTAAGCCATGTCCGGCGTCTTTGTATGTGTCACCTGTTTTTCTGGTTCTGCCACCCTGACATCAGCCTTTTGTTTGAGAGAAGCCAACACACGCATTGTTTCACTTTGACGTTACATATTCCTTAAAAAACCCAACAAAGACTACCGGAAATTTTCCTCTGCTATGAAGTATCATTAAAAAAATAAAAAATAAATCTATTGTTTTTTGTTCTCCCCTCAGGGGGTCTTTGCATCCAGGTGAATGTTCCTGAGCAGGAGCGCAGCACTGCTCTGTTTGCCTCAGTCACAATCCGCTGTGATTACACCACCTCTGGAAGCCTCCAAGATGTTCTGGTCACTTGGAGGTTCAAGTCCTTCTGCAAGGACCCCGTCCTGGAGTACTACTCCACAGGTGAGAGCCACACACCTGTCTGAGGTCACAGGGGATGCAGGTTTTGGGCCAATTTTCCGTGGTTGGATTGGAATCAGAGCTAAAGTAGATCAATTTATCAGAATCGGCTTGAGCTGGAAAATCTGAGGACCGGGGTTTGGGGAGCACTGTGCTAAGGCCTTAGCAGAAAAATAATTTTCCGAAGAATGATTTAGAGGAGCCATTATATTTCTTACTCGAGGTAAACGTTTTTAATCAAACACGGATACAGAGGAGAAAAGCTTCACCAGGATTTTTTTTCATGCAAATCATGCTGTTTTTCTGCTGTCATGTTAAAAAAAAACATTTTTTTAAAATGATTTTTGACACTCGTCTTTTTAGTGCGGCTGCTGTCCCTTTGCTTTTACGTTTTTAATTTTTTCAAAATATATATATTTATTTTAAAAAACACATGGGGAAACTGTGTGTTTGCTTAGATGAGATTGATGTGCACTTTGCCAGGGACACTATTAACTGTGTTAATGTTTGTTTTGAATGTGAACATTTCCTCTTTGGAATAACCATGAATTGTTGGTGAGGATGTTTCTCGATCTCTAACCCCAAATTCAAAACTTGATAAATGTCTTGATAAGAGTCAGTCAAATCTTGTTGGAGCATTGAAAATGTATTAAAACATTACGTTTAATCCATCTGGCCTTTGTTGAGAAGCATCCCGTTGACCAAAGTGGGAGACATGCTATGTTGTCATGTTTTACTGAGAGCTAATGAGAGGGAAATTATATGTCAGATTTCTTTTTTGTTTGGAACCGTCAGGTTTAAGAACTTAAGAACTTATTTGAGTAGTGTAAAACCTGGATGTTACAGGAGGGATTGGTGTTTAGAATAAAAATTCTCTCTGCTTTTTCAGCTTACCAGTCTGCACTACAGCTGGGACAGGACCCAGCTAACGACTGTCCGGACCGTCAGCGGACAGTGCGCGTCGTGGCCCAGAAGAGAGGAAACAACGAGCCCATTCTGGGCTCTGAATATAAGAATCGCAAGGTCACCATCGAAAACAGTAAGCTATGTTCGGCCATGAATTCATTGTCATCGTATGGTAAACAGGACTCTAAATCGTAATCCCATTTAAGCCATATAGTTTTACTGAATATCACTAATCAATCTCAAGATTTCCTCTTTTAACTGATTGGCATTCAAATAGTGGTTACAGTTAATTATCTGGAATTTTAGAATAAAGGCAGCATCTGTCACAAGATTTAGCAAGAACAGTTTGTCATTACAACTGATGTACTGTGTGTGTGTGTGTGTGTGTGTGCGCGCACAGACGCAGACTTGGTGATCAATGAGGTGATGTGGTGGGACAATGGGGTTTACTATTGTTCGGTTGATGCACCTGGAGACACCACGGGAGACTCGGATAAAGAAGTCAAGCTCATCGTCTACCGTAAGAAAACTCAGATTAACTCAGATTAGCAATTAAACGTTAGACGTAAACATTTCCTCTGACTCAATCAAAATGTGTCACTCGTCGCTGGAGTCTTGTTCACAAAATCAGAGAGTGCATCTTTTAAAATCAGGTCAAAGGGATTTTTTGTGAGGAAGTGAGTGCCATGCTTCCTCTCTCTCTCTCTCTTCTCTCCAGACTGGTTGACCGTGTTATTCATCGTGATCGGCGGCCTTCTCCTCATCATCCTCTTCGGCATCTGCTGCTGCCAGTGCTGCCCTCAGAAGTGCTGCTGCTATGTCCGCTGCCCCTGCTGCCCGCAGCAGTGTTGCTGCCCCGAGAAAGGTAGAAACCGGCGCCTGCAAACGTCACCGACACAAACCGTCAGTTACGTTAGAATTACTAAAAAGTCTTTGAGTGGTGGATCTCGATCCGAGTAGTATTTATTTCTCTGTAACAACAGACAGGGCAGATAAATGAGGCACACCGGAAGAGGTCGAATAACCGGCATTCCCCTTCCCCAAAAAAAAGAGAAAGAAAAAGAAAATAGAGTTCCGGTGTGCACCACCAATTATCGCCCCCTCGGAACCAATAGGCAACGATTAACCCATCCCAAGTATTATTTACATTGTAGCCCACATCTTTTGTTCACAAAGAGAAAAAATAAGATTTATTCTTAACACGATTAGACATATGCTTAAAGGATGTTTTAGGCCGTGTTGAACACGTCACGTTCAGAGCAGCGAAACAAATCCTGAAGTTCTTGGTTGGCGGAGGGCAGACTGTATACTGTGTATTGACTTTCCGTGTGTTGTCGAACACTGAAAGACGCATTTCTCTGATCTTATAGCTGTGATGCAACATCGCATGATGAAGGAGGCGCAGAGGGCCATGGCTCCCTGGTTAGGTGGACAACCCGTTTATGCCCCTATGAGCCACGCCTCCACCCAGATGAACCCGATGCTCTACTCTGGTACGCTCACCTGACCCACAAATCCTAGTTTAGTGCCAAGTTCTTTGGGGGTGTTTCTCGTCCCCTAACTTTACTCTGCCGTGTTGCTCTTCAGGATCTGTCTCAGGGAAAAGCATGCCTCTCAAGCCAATGCCCCTACCGCCCCCGCAGTCTTCGGCTTACAGCATGCCTACTCGCAGTGTCCAGGGCGCTCACACCCCTGGAAATAACAGCCAGATGCTGGACTACCTGGAGAACCAAGTGCGGGGAATGGACATGGCAAGTCCTCTTCTGCAGGTATGTTCTCATACAGTATTTTGATACCTTATACTTTTGGCAGAAAATGGGACACAACGGGTAGCCATCTTGCTGTCATTTTACTAGGAATTCCACAATCTTCTAGTTTGTAATCACCTTTTCAGAGGAATTTCACGTAGAACCCTATGAAAGAAATTACATAATCCTTTAAACTCTCCTCTCTGACCAAAACTGAAAGATTTACCTCAAATACGAAGATTATTAATCAATATTTTATGTGCATCTTTTTAAAAATGTGATGGACCAAAGATAAGTGCCCTCAAAATCTGTTGGAGGCATTGACATCCAGATGGCATTTCTGGCCTAAAGTAAATTAAAATAGCTTTTGAGCTGTTTTTAAGTGAGGGGCTCGGGGATAGAAGTCTTGTACTTCATATTAAAATTCCTGCTTCAGTTCCCATCTTCTGCGTTCACATTTCTGTCTTGTTTTTGCTCTTTGGATGGAAGTATTTGCTGAATGAAGGACTTGTGGCACAGCTTGTACCTGTGAACCTGGTCACAGGCCTGTGGTGGTTTTGAGCTGTCGCTGATGTCTTTTTTGGCTTCTTCTTCTCATCAGTCCCAGCCGCCTCCTCAGGCGTACCAGATGCCGCCTCCCCCTCAGCACATGCCTCACGCCGTTCCGTTTTCCGCCGGTCCACCGAGCATGATCTCCGCTCTGGACGACGGTCCGGCGGAGCGCCGCGTCATCACGCTTCCTCCCATCAGGGAGCAGCCCCGAGGCAGAAATCCGCCCCCGGCGCCCAAGACTCGCCCGCCAAGTTCCAGCGAGAGCAGCCGCAGCGGTTTCGGCCGCCACGACGAGCGAGGGGGCGCCGGGAGGCGTTACCCCTCCCCGGCTAGATCCAGGGGCATTCCCAGGAGCTACAGCGAAGAGTCGCTGGACGGGAGAGGTCGCAGCCGGTCGCGAGCGGGCCCGGACCGCCCCCGTTCCCGGTCCAGGGACGACCTGTTCGACAGCAGGTCCAGAGGAAACTACTCCCCCCCGGCGAGTAGACGCTCCCGAGGAGGATCCTGGAGTTCGGATGACGAGGCCAGCAGCAGAAGAGGAGGAGCGTCGGGGGGAGGAGGAGGAGGGAGGAGAGGAGGCGGAGGCTATGCCGACAAACCTCCCAGCTACACCGAGTACGAGCCTGGACAGAAACCGGGAGCACGGAGGAATGAGCGCTATTCTGTAAGACAGTCGCTGCTCTAGGGTATAGCACTAACATCCCAGCAAACATGGAGATAAAAAAAAAAAAGAAATCAACCTTGTCGTTATAAAAAATTTTAAAAATCCTGCCTGCCAGTAAAGTGAATCTAAAGTGGGTGTGTCTCTCTCAGGACAAGAGTTATCGCAGTGGCACCAGCGTCGTCATCTGATTCTTCCAGCTGCGAGGCGCCCTGCGACCTCTGTTCCAGAGAACACGCACAACCCAGTCGCTACGTTTCCTGGCTACCAGGATCTGTTAAACAGAATAAAGCGCAAACATTCTGATGACGAGCTCGCAAAAAATACCTACGAAATGTAAGTTTGAAAGACTGTGAAACTTCTTTTTCTGAATATCTGAGGAAAGTTGTGGGAGATACGCGCTCCTCCACCGGTCGGATAATGTATTTATAATGTTCTGAAGCAGTCTGGAGCACAAAGCCTACTCTTAGATGATAATTTTGTGTTACTTAAAGGACAATGTTCATCGGGAAGCAACACAGTTAGTTTTTAGATGTTCTAGATCTATAAGACCAGAAAAATGTAATGTTTTAGAAATAACACTCAGGGCCAGTTAATATAGCAGTAAGTGACCATATAAACCCCCATGAATATGAAAAGACCCATATTAATGCTTATTCTTCATCCTTTTGTAAATAAGTTGTCTTCTCCTGGATATCTTGAAGTGACTACGGTGGATTTGTTGAATAATCCGAGAAGCTTTTCAGCTAAATGCTTTGTGCATGGATGGGATGACATTTTTGCACTTAGTGCTCATAAACAGATGTAAACTCCATATGTTAAAAGTCTGTTGCATAATGGGGATGTTTGGAAATGAAGAAATGTACAGAATTTTTACCTATCTGATGACTAATTTTACCTTCTTACATTTTTTTCTGTTACATTTATGTTTGATGTTTCTTTTGTTTTCGACTGTACAGTCGGTAATTAAATTGATAATAAACTTTGCTCCCTTTTGGGAATAAGCGTTTGTTCTGGTTCCTTTCAGCTAAGACTCATTGTAGTGGATGATTAAAAACACAAAAAAAACAAGGCCTTGTTTCATGGCATTTTTATTGATGTCATTGGATTCAGTCTCAACCACTGCGTTTGCTTAGTCTCAAAACCATCTGTTCAGATAGTCAACTGAGCCATATTGAAAGAGAAAGAACTGCATATAAAACTTTTACCAAAGACTTCATGATTCATATACAGTATTTAAAGACCAATTATAAGAAACACCTCCACTATGTTCAGTTGGTTCAAACCTACCTAAAACGTATTATCTAAAATTACAAGTTTGTTCTTTAGTCATTTAATTTCTTAAGACATTTTATTACTTCAAACAAACTATTTTCCAGACGATTGTTCGAAGTTTTATCTTTAGAAATGTAAGAGTTAAGATTTTAAATGAATTCTGTATGTTTCACACTAAAATCCATATAAAATCATTTCTATGTATTCAGGCAATGCCCGTGTCTGAAGATTTAGTTGTATGTAAAATGATAGACATCTGCCCTTAAATCAGAATAGTTATAAAACCTTGACTTCATAAAAATAGGACTTATGTTTCCTCAGTGTCAAAGGATCGATAATCAGCAGTCACCTAGTTCGTTATGGCCTCAGTACTGCCCTGAAAGATCAATATATTTCCCAACATTATGCATCAAAAATACTTCAGATGTGTTTGTGTGGTAGCAGATAAAGTGCGAACTAAATTAGAAAGTTCTATCTGAAAGACAAGAAAAAGACTAACCTAGTGCAACACCTGCTGTTGTGTTCACTCTAAAAATAACATGATCAGTTGTACAGAATCATGCTGAGACTCACAAAAATAGTGTATTTACCTGCATCTCTCTTGATTAAAATGTCAAATAAAGAGCAGGTAACAAACCCAAAGTTAAATGTACCACAAATGTTCTACTCTACAAAACTTTAATTTAGCAGTTTGGCCACCTATTTTTTCAACAAATGCTTTACTCAAACTTTCCCATTTAAATTTATTTTAAATTGTCAAGAGGTATTTATTTGCTTGTTTTTTTGTTTTTTTTTTGTCTAATTTTAAGAAGTGTGTGGGGAACAGCTGTTTAAAATATTGTGGTACAGCTGATGAATGGTAAATTACTAAGTTAGACAAAAGGCCACGAAAACAAACAAACATCTGCAATAAAGAAGTGGTTTTAAAATCAACAGCGAAAAAGGAAGATGTTAGATCAACCATAACAAATAAGATCATTTTGTGATCTTGGTAAAATCATAAAAAGATCTCATGGGTTTGTGTCTCAATATTCATTTTCTATTTTAAAGGTGAAAGGATTGTCAGCCTTCATTCAGCTGACACCTGGTTTGAACTAGAATGCAAATTAGGCCATATTCAATCCCCTATGTAGCAGAAACAGTGAAAGACAGTTTCTTTCAAATGTTCTGTTACTTAAGACATTTAAATAGTTTCTTCACCTAGCTTTAAATCGACATTTTTCATACCATTTTAAAATATCACACAAGACACAACCTTTACAAAAATCTTAGGGTTTAATGACGTGAGTTTGTCTATTTTTAGGACAGTTTCCTATCTGTGGCCCTTCTATATATTTTATTTTCCTTCGCCTTGTGTCTAATGTCGTTTCGTGTCTCTGTCTATTTGGACACAACTTGCACCCGACGCGAGTCCTCGGAAGCGAGTTGAAGCAAGCTTTCCCCTTTGCGGTTTCGGTCGGGGACTTCCTCCATAACTTATCTCTGTCGAGCTCAACTGAACTGCGGCTGTGCAGAGCGCGAGCTCGCCGGGGTCGCGTTGTGATGACGGCACGTGAGAGGAGGTGCAGGTTTGCCACGTCGGTCTCTGTGCAACGCATTTCCACTGTTGCTCTGGGCTAACTTTCAGAGCCGTTTTATGCCCTCCGCCGGGGAAAGAGGGACCCCGCAGTGTCGCTGTCGCGGCCGTAGCTCGTTGCCACGTCGGAGCAGCGTTGGATACCGAAGCTGGACGGCGGAGAAATGCTCGGCGCCGTGTGTAGTCGTCTCCCAACTGACTGATGCATCCTCGTTCAGTTCAGCCCCCCGCATGTTGTCGATGTTGTGTGAGTAGAGGTGGCTCCACGAAGCCTCTTTAACTGTCCTAAGTTTGATTGTTTCAACGTGCCGGCTTGGCCGCTAGCTCCGGGCGTTGCGTTTCAAACGCCCTTTTTTTTTTTTAAAGTGAGCTCCCAAGTTTCCGCAATGTAAAAAAACAAAAAAAAACGTCAACGCTGCCCGGTGCCATGATTCACACAAGCCGCTATACTGCACGTCTCAGCAGGTCTCCGGCGAAAGAAAAAAAAAAACGCCTCTTGTTTACGTTTTCCACCGAGAAAAAGACAGGGGGGAGGTTTAAAAAAAATGTCGGCTCGGTGCTGGTTTACCTGCAAATAAAAAAAAAAGTCTTCGGACTTGTAAAGTGATACCGGGGAGCACGCCGCACCTCCACAAGGTGACAAAAAAACGCCATAACGCGACCTCCCGTGGTGGTCGGTGTCCGTTTCCATTAGTTCCTGTTTCCACTGATGAGTTTCAGCTGCGATAATTCAGGTCCCCCGTGGCGCGTGCGTCTCAACGCCTGTATCCTGTTTTGTTGCCTCGGCTCTGACACCGTCGTTTTTTTGTTTTTTTATTGCAGCTACACAGTGGCTCGTAAACGTGTTTCATTATCTTCTCCATCGTGTTTCATCAGCAGAGGGGAAACGATGCTTTACTCAGAGGATGAACGCTGTCAGCCCGGTCTGAGTGTCAGTCAGGGGCTTATTATCATATAGACCTATGACCAGGGGCCTGGACCAGGCTTGGTGTTTAAATACCCACTGAGCCATAATGAGATTAATCGTCCCCATATAACAAGTCCTCTATTAATGAGTTTTAGATGACACTACTTTACCCACTTTGGTTTTTGAAGAAGCTGTGGCTCACAACTGTCAGCACTGTGTGGTTCACACTCTTTTGTCCCTTGGCCCCAAACTGTAGTGTTTGCTGAAATGGACACCAGCTTAAAAATTGATTTTTACATTTATAGAAGTGGTTGAATTGCCGGTTCTGTAAAGACAAAACTCAGAAGGACTGAATCTTATGACTGTCTGCGTTTCAAACTACTCTGTTAGTAGTTTTATAACTTAACTCAACAGTCATATACACAGAATATACTCACATAAATTCACATAATTTAAAGAAAACCCTTAGACTAATGTAGAGGTCAACATTTGATAAGTGAGCAAAAGAAAAAAAAAGTGCTGTAATCATCTTTCAGGTAGTCACCGGTTGGCCTTTATTGTCCTAATCAATAAAACAATATTGTCTGTATTCGGTTTAGTTGCCCTTAGGGTTTGGGTTGTGTTCTGGGGGTCTTTTTGGCGGAGGTGAGCGCTTTTTAATGCTGTTGGTCACGTGTGTGTCACCGCAGACGAGGTTAAAGTGTACCGTGAAAAAGGCTCGCTATCTGCGTTTGGAAAAGAAACAGTTGAGATAAACAGTAATCTGTTTCTTTTGGTGACGGTGCCTCCTGACGGGTTCTGTGTCAGAGCCACCAGCTGAGAAAAGAAACGTTTGTTTTGGAGATGCACTCCGAAGCTGCCCTTCAAACACCTCCAGGTAGTTGCATCCTAAGGTGATTTAAAGCAGGCAGGGCTGCTTATGAACAGGTTTTGAGCTCAGGGTGGTTTGAGATTACCAGTTGCTGTGTTTGTGTTGTTAAATAGGTATTTGACTACAACCTGAAGTTTTGCTACTTCGCTTTGGGATGATCTACCAATGTTGTCAGTGGAATTGTGGAGAATCGGTTCAGTTTCTGTTGTGTTTTTAAAGGGTAAACGATTACTTCGGTCAGCCTGTCTATTTGTTTAACTAAATAATGGCTTTATTTCACAGTCTGGCAGTAAATCCTAACTTTCTGTGCTATTTGTTTATGGAAATATTGAGCCAGCATGTGTTCAATTTAGAGGTAATTGTTTGTGGTGGTTGGCATTTGTTCACTGTTATTGATTTTCCCCATTCATGTGTCCATTACTAACAATTAATTTCACCATTGTGCTAAGGGATGAACCCACATGGGGGGGGGGGGGACTGAACTGGGAGCCGGCTCACAGATCGACGGGAGCATATGTGCAGTGGTGGCCTATCTCTTACTTAGTTTATCTTTGCTGCTGTTTACTTACTACACGTGTCATGTAAAGTAAATATCTGGGGCAGATCCATACACTAATTGCTTTTTGTTCGGCTGTCGGATGATGTAGGTTACTCAGAGCTCACTGCTTTTCAGTTCCACTCAACTTGCTTTTTTCTTCTCGATCCCAGCTGATTTCTGTCCTCCCTTGTTGCCCCCACAGTGGTCTGGCAGTACATGGTGGCATTTTGAGAGGAACGGTAACTGGCGATCATGCCAGGAGGCCGCAGGGGTCCCAGCAGACAGCAGATAAGTCGCGCCGCCCTGCCGTCCCTGCAGACGCTAGTCGGAGGCAACGTGGGCAATGGCACTGGCCTCAGGAACAGGTACGTGCACCCCCAGAGCCGCCGGGACAGCAGTTTGCTTAGAACACATTCCTGCAGACTAATGCTTCGGAGGTGGGAGGGGAAAAAAGAAAGCGGTGCGAGAGAAGCAACAATAACATGGAGCATTAACCCTCATTTTGGAGATGAAGACCATAGACTTTCTCATTTAGATTTATGCATAAATAATTTCTAATTGTTTGGTTGCTGTACTTATATAATTCCTTTGCAATTGTCTACCCTTAGAGGCAGTCAAACACACCTGAGCTGCTCCTGTTAAAACACAAAGTAGAGGTTGTGAAGGGCTTTACATTTTACTAACAGATAATGTAACACAACACACTATTCCTATTTGTTATTTTATTTTTAGTTAGTTTTTCAAATCTGCACTGGTTTTCCATAGATTTTCCATCCTGATCAGCAGCTGGAAGCAGTCGTGTTTTGTTCGAGAGCTGCTTTGATTTTACAGACACACAGCAGGGAGCCTCCAGTTGGAAACAGCAGTCAGCTGTTAGGTTTCTCTGGGCCTATTGACAGTCGTGTTTTCTGCTGAATCAGCTCTGCAGACGCAAACAAACGTTTGGTCTTCACATTTGTGGAATTTTCCATGCAAAGCTTCAGAACGCGAAAGTTTTGTCATTTTAGTCATCAAAGATTTTGCTATGTGACTGACAATGTGCTAAATCCCCTCCTTGTGTCCCAGATATGTGTTTTTTTATCATATCTTTTTATTCTTGTGCATGCCTTTGTCCAGGAACAGTACCTCGATGGGTCTGTCTGCCCCGCCGCTTTCTGCCCTCATCACGCCGGAGCCGGTCCGTCACTCCAGGATTCCCGAGCTTCCGTCGGACAGCAGCCTGCTGTTTGAGCTCCTGCTTTTCCTTTACTTGCTGGTTGCCTTGTTTGTCCAGTACATCAACATCTACAGAACAGTGTGGTGGTACCCGTACAGCCACCCTGCTGCCTCTACCTCGCTAGTAAGAACACACACTGTCAGTCTTTCTTTCTTAACTTTAAAGACTGAAGGAGTCGTATTCCTCCTCAGGTCACTCACGTTTTTTTGTTTTTTTTATGCATGTTTTTTTCAAGTTTTCATTAAGAATATCTTAGTATGTTGAAGATTAAAAAGGTCTAAACTCGTGCACTTCATTCGCTCAGTTTTTCAGAAGTAATTTGTCTACACTGAAAACACTGTAAAATCCCTGTTTTACCACAGATGACGATGAAAAGTGTATTTTTGTGGCATATATTTTATCACATGTATTCTTTTTTTTATTTCGACACAATGGGAAAAACCAAATCCAGTAAATTATTATTATTATTTTTTTTGTCCTTGTAGAATTTCCATCTAATGGACTACCACCTTGCTATCTTCATTACAGTCATGTTAGCCAGGAGGCTTGTTTGGACAATTGTTTCAGAGGTAAACACACACTGCTCAGTGCTGAGTCAGCTCCTTACCCCACAAAGCCCCAGAGGGAAGTGATCCATCTTGATGGCAGTTTTTTGAAGCCACAGTTCCTCTGATATCCGTCTCGTGCAGGTGTCCCAGAGCAGCGGGGGTTCCCTGCTCCGTTATGTGGTACTAATTGCAGCTCGGCTCAGCCTGCTGACTTTGTGCGGTTGGGTGCTCTGCTGGACGCTGGTCAACCTGTGCAAGAACCACTCTGTGCTCAACCTCCTCTTCCTGGGATACCCGTAAGTTTTGCAATGTCGAAAGCACAGTTTGAGTTTAAATCCTGTCCTGAAATGTGGCCTTAACACAAGCAGACTGCTAGCGAAGGTATTTTTATGATAGAAGATATTCCCCAATAATCTAAGTCATTGAATTAGCAGGTAGAGGGCTTCGTATAATGTATATAAGCTTTAGACTGACATTTTGAGAAGTTCTAAATCCGGCTTTTCATTCAGATGTAAAACGGGGGTTGGGAGATGGACTTTTTATCCTATCAGCCCTTTATCTAAGCATATTGTTGGTTCTGTTATAAGAAATTATGCCAGCTGGGTAAGATTTCCCTGCCTATGTTCTGAAAACAGTGCTCAAATCGCTGTACAGAAACCACATTAGATACTTACAACATCTGTAAAAACTGTAAAAATCTGTTACATGTTGTTCTTTTTGGTCTTTAACGATTGAAAAAAGAGGTGGGGGGTTCTTATTGTCTTAATTGATAGGAGTATAGATTATACTATACTATATATCATATTATTTCTGAGTGTAACTGTTTGATGTTCTGGTGGTTCAGTTGTCTAGTGTTGGGCAGGTTTGTTTATTGTTTTTTCAGATTTACTGGTTGGGAAAATGGAAGAAAAAAATGGTAGAATCTGTTTTCCCTTAATGTATTTCACCACTATAAACATGCCAGATTTTTCCTCACACTACGCCTTCATTTCATCAGTCCTCAGGAGCTAAACCGTGCTGCTTTTGTCTCGCTGCCCTCCTCCGTGCTCCGCTCCGTTAGGTTCGGCGTGTACGTCCCGCTCTGCTGTTTCCACCAGGAGGGGGTGAAAAGCCCGGCGGCGGCGGGCGACTGCGACTACCCGGCCGACCACCAGCCGGCCGACCTGACGGAGTCCCCCTTCTTTCGGCCCCGCGACTTCCTCCTCCTCTTACGGGAGAACCTCCGCGAACAGTTCTCCAGCCCCCCCCACATGCCCACCCACACCTGCCCCCAGCACACGCACTCCGACACGCCGGAGCTGATCCGGGCGGAGGTGGAGGAGCTGAAGAGCGACTTCAACCGGCGGATCAAAGAAGTGCTCTTCAACTCCCTGTTCAGTGCTTACTACGTGGCCTTCCTGCCGCTCTGCTTTGTTAAGGTGGGTCATCTAGATGTGGCTTTTGGGGGGGGGCCCCCTCCACCCCGTTGGTGCTCCCCCGTGCTGCTGGCGTCCGGTTCATTTTCGGTCTCGCTTTTTTTCCCCGCTCTCACCAGAGTACCCAGTACTACGACATGCGCTGGGCATGTGAGCATCTGATCATGGTGTGGATCAATGCCTTCGTGATGCTGATGAGCCAGCTGTTGCCCCCCAGCTACTGCGACCTGCTCCACCGCTCGGCGGCCCACCTGGGCCGCTGGCAGAAGCTGGAGCACGGCTCCTACAGCAACGCGCCTCAGCATGTGTGAGTTACCCGCTGAGCACAGAACCGATACCTCCGGGGAAGTCAAATGTTACATTTGAATAACGTTCACTTGCACTCCGTGTTGTTGTGCGCATCATTTTCAGGTGGTCCGAAAGCACCATTTGGCCTCAGGGGGTGTTGGTACGACACAGTCGAAGTCTGTATAGAGCAGTCGGAGCCTATAATGTCGCTCTGCCGTCTGATGTCTCCCACGCAAGGTTTTATGTGAGTATCTTGTTCTGTCACAGAGGGCATCACCTGCTGCTTATCCGTGCTGATCGTTTTCAATAAGACACCGCAAAGAGCTGCTGAAACCCTGATTTATGGCATCAAAAGTAACCCCAAAGCATTAAATTCTCACCACCTTTTTTTATCACAAATGCCACAAAATGCAAATACATGTACAAAAGAGCTTTGATTTTCTCTTCTGCACGGCAAGCTAAAATTACAATTTTTTTTTCCTAAACACTTTTGTTTAGCCTCACTGGGATAAAGCAAAGATATAATGACAATTCAGTGAGGCTGCAGCCCCAAAGCGGCAGGTGTTCAGTAGGCTTTTCTGAACACCAGAAAAGCCTCAGACTCTTGGATCTGGGATCTGCTCTGTGAACAGGAGACTATTCTGTTCCAGTCAGGATGATCTGGTGGATCCAGCTGTGAGGACATTAAAACAAGTGCTGGAGCTGAGACACCTCTGCTTTGGACCTCGTGCAGAATCAATGATAAACTTTAGCCTAATGCAGCCTTTTCTTTTTCTTTCTTTCTTTTTTTTTTTTTAAACAGTTGATCCTTTTCCCCGAAATCCTTCCCATGTAGAACCAACTTTGGCTGCTTATCTGACAGGCAGCTGGGCTTTCCCCACCAGTCTAAGTCCCGTTGAGTGTTGTGCTTAAGCTCTCTTTGTGTGTGTGTGTGTGTTACAGTTTTGATTTCATGTGTTGACTTCCTTTTTTATTGGGCCTTATCATCTTTGGCCAACTTTATACTCAGTCACTCCTACTAACTCTAACTTTGCTGTCTTCTGGATTTGCAGTTCCTGTTCCACAAGCCGTTGCGGATCCTGAACCTGCTGATCTGGATAGAGTCCAGTGTGGTTTTATACCAGTTATACTCTCTGCTGCGCTCCGAGCGCTGGAACCACACGTTGTCTCTGGGCCTTATTCTCTTCTGCAACTACTATGTGCTTTTCAAGCTGCTCCGAGACCGCATAGTGCTGGGCAAAGCCTACTCCTTTCCTCTGTCCTCCGGCAGTTTGGGGCTCAAGTCCCAGTAACTGCAAACTCTGGATGTGGAGGGGAAGTGGCGGCGTCTCAAGGGACAGACTGTGAACTCATAATTGTGTTTTGATACGGTTCTATTTTTAATGCAATGTTTATACATACTTATTTAAAAGAGTATTTTTATTTTGTATACTATTTCGTGTTACACCGGGCATTACCACACTGACGACATGACCATGTTGTGTTACGTTGTTGCTAGGCGACAGGAGAGCGCGGGTGCCTGGGGGGTGACTTTCACCAAAGATGTTTGTTAAGTGCACGTGGCCAATCACAGAGCGGACCTGGCCTCAGACTGTGGGTAAAACCAGACGGGCAACTTAGACGAGCGGACCGAGTCGTTCCTGAGATCCTGATTATTCTGTGTTCAGCTTTAACCTTAACTCGTAAATCTGGAGGCGGCGGGCAGGCTGCCGATTCGATCGGCACTGCGGCGGCAGTTTACGCCAATCCTATTTAGAGTTAGTCTTTTCTGTAAAGAATGCTTCTATTTTTCTGGGCAGAGAGTTTAAAGAGTGGAATCTGTGGCCCGTTTGGCAAAATTCAAGCACCTTTAAAGCAGATTTAGAAGGTGATTTTATTTTTTAAGTCTGCTTATTTAACGACACGAATCTAAAATCTTCAAGTATTCGTGCACACTCAAAAGGCCCCCTTTGACTATTTGTACTGGATTAAGGGTAACTAAATCAAATTTGATTTGCCCTGATTGGGCTTCAGTGCTTCTGCTCTCAAACTGCGGTTAGCAGAAACTTGAGCTGGTACAGATTCCTTCGGTGGAGCCGAGAGAGTGACATCAACTTCCAGACCAACTCTAAACCAACATAAAAGAATGAGGAAATCCCCAAAAAGTTGCTTTTTTTTCAGTGAAGCTGCGTTTTAGTTCCCGTCAGAGGTGCTTCCTTCTGTCCCCATTTTACTGCTTTTACTTTCAGAAGCTGCTCGTTATGTCATTGGCCTCCTTAAGGGACATTTACAGTACCCGTTTGAATGTGATCAACTCGAAAGATGTTTGAAAGACTCGGTGTCCTTAAACTCAGAGCACATTTTTGGAAACCAATTGGTTAATAAAGAGATGTCCCGGCCTTTTTTTTGGTTTAGCTGCTTTAAGAAACCACACAGGTTCATAAAAATGTATTTCTGAACTCACCGTGAAAACATTTAATGAATTGCTGTGACAGTGAATCACTCTTATGTACGCTCAAGATCACCTGCCCATTGTTTTCCACAGCTTAGACTTTTTCTTTCTGCTTGTACTTTCCAGTATCTAAGCCTTCTCCTATTGAAATGATCTCATTGTCATTTCCATCTGGTACAGACTATTGTGACATTTCACAATGGATGTAAAAATGAACAAAAGTCTGTCATGTGAGCAGTTCAAACTGCCTTTCAGATCCCACAATTTGTGTACATCCCCTTTTATTTGAGGGCTTTTCTCAGTCTGGGCCTCATCCCTGCCAGCTGCTTCAGTCCGCTGTCAGGGTCGATGTCTGATTGAGACCTGTAAAATGCTAACACAAAACATATCCAGAAATATATTTCCCTCGTCCCCTTGTTTTTTCATTTCCAATTAAATTGCCTCACTTGGATCATAAGGACCTGAAGAGAAAGGAAGTACTTTGAGCTGAAATGTGTCAAATGTGCTTAACCTGCCCTGGATTTAATACAAACGCCATTCATGTGCCAGTTAGCGCAAGTCTGTTTTTTTTGGTGCTCTTGTTCTGATCATTTTTTTCCACTTGAATTTGGCAAACTTGTGCCACTCGATGGTGCTGTCGAGTTGGTCTGGATTGCTTGTGGATCGGGCGGTTTAATCTGGGCCACATCACTAAAAAAGCAGTTTTGAATGGTTGTGAAAATCAGCATCTTTGATTGGACCTTTTCTAAATTGTAATACTGAAATGAGACGTGTTAAGGATTGCTTTTAGATTGGGCTTCTATCACAAAAATATTTTTTTTCTTTTATTTTTGGCCACTCATAAACACCAGTCTAGACAGAAAAAGAAAGCAAGAATGATTTACGATACGAAAAGATTTCAAATGTATTACCTTTTACCTAAATTGACCTTTAGGCTGATTATCTCCTCTGAATTTACATCTGTCTCTTGAGTGGATAAAAATGGTGATGATGTTATGTGACCTTTTCTTTTTTTAAATTAGGTGAGCTGTTTCTCTTATTTCTCTCTATTGGAATGTGCCATATCCCAGGATCCAGGTTCAGACTCATGGTTATTCAGTGTACCGGTGCAGAAAGCGTAGGAGCTGTTTTCACATTTCTGATTTTGACAGTGTTCAGCTTCCCCACAGCATTTCTGAATATTCTGACATCTGAAATAAAACTGTTAAACCAATGTTGTGCTTAGTTTTCGTTTATCGGTCATAAGTGGAACAAGGAAAAGAGGGCCGTTTGTTTCAGAGCATATGTTTAATTAAATCCTCCAAAGTTTTCCACTGACGAAAAGTCACAAATGAGAGAAAGGAGAAAAGTGCATACAAAAGCCTCTGCAAAGAGAGCAGGGTTCAAACTGTGGAAACGCGCAGTGCTCGGAGTGGCCACCAGATGGCGCCAAACAACAACGCAACCCCATTAGGCCCCTAGAGTGGAACATCAGTTTTGGGGAGGAGACGTTTTGCACTCTATAAAATCCCCTGCCACGAGGCGAATAGTCCTCCAAAACCTTTTCATGGCTGTAAATAAAGTACAGTATGCTTGCGGATAACTTTTCAGAAAAGAAAACATTCGGCAACTTTGGTCACTGACTTGTACATTCATTCTCAGATGTAATATTCAGTAGAAAAAAGTCTCAACAACAGTGCAGTCTTTAGTATGAGCTCAATAAAAAGGCTATAGCTGTTTAAAGGTAGTTTCCGTTCCTTTGACCCATGATCTGTATCATATGGGAAGATCTTTAGATTCTCTAGCTTAATATTTCAATAAGCAGATCATTGTTTTTGAGTATGTTTATATCACAGTGATATTACTGTTTCTTTTTATTTTTTGTCTTCTCATTCTGTCAAATGTTTCGGAGAATTAGGGTGAAGAGCAACATTATCTAATCGTATATTTTTGATATTCACGAGTGTGTATTATTTCGGCCCCGACGACGACGACGACGACGACGTGGTGAGCCTTTCGTTTTGTTGCTCCGCCTCTTTTTTTTTTTTGGTCCTCCCATTTTCTCACCCTTCCCTGCAGTCCACAAAGTTTCCTTTGATCCAGTAGCAGATCTGCGCGTACTTGAGGGGCGTGATTCTCACCGCCACGTTGAACTCCCGCGACGCCCCCTGCCGCTCCACCCACTGGTGGCCGGAGAACACCCCGATCACCTTCCGCTCCCAGCGCCGCCGGCGCCCGTCCCACATGCGGGCGTACACGCCCGAGCCGCTGGCGCCGGGCTGGGCGTCGCAGTGCTGGTACAGCAGGTCGGGCGTCTCCTCGCCGGCCGGGCAGAACCGGTACACCAGCTGCCCGGCGCGGTCGTTGTCGAACCCCGAGAAGTGCACCCGGCGCCCGGGCAGCCTCTGGGCCGGGGGGCTGACCCCCAGCTTCATGTGCCGCCGCCTGTGGGGCTTCTTCAGCTCCAGCAGAGCGTAGTCGTAGTCCATCCCGATGTCGTTGGCGTTGCCTTTGATCCAGCCTTTCGGCACGTGCGTGCGCTTGGCCCTGATCCACTGGAACTTCATCTTGTCGTTGACCGGCGGGGCCTGCGGAGGCGGCAGCCCCTCGACGTGATTGCTGAAGTTGGAGGGGCGGTGGAAGGAGGAATGGTGACCGTCTCGGTGCCTTGGTTTCAAAAAGCCGACCCGGAGCTTCTGGGCTCCCTTCACGTAGTTCTTGCCGTCGTGAACGCAGTGGGCGGCCGTGAGCACGTGCCGGTCGCCCACCAGCGTGCCGGAGCAGCCGGTGGACAGCTTGACGGCCACCGAGAAGGGGAACTTAAGCAGGAAGCTCTGGCCCGCGATGCTGAAGCGACCGTCGTGGCCAAAGATCTGGCGCTTCCTCCTCACGCGGGCGGCCCCGGGGGGGCGGGCCGGACTGACCGCGGGGTCGGGGTTGGGGTCGTAGCCGTAAATCCCGATGGCCGTCTCGGTGAGCCGGCCGTCGGAGTGCAGCGTCTCGTAGGCCAGCAGACGCCGCAGGTCCCAGTAGCTGGGCTGGGGGGCGCGCTTGTGGCATTCCGGGTCGCAGGGGGAGGAGACGTCCAGGCGGGCCGGACGCAGGAAGTGAGGGGCTGGACGAGCCGCCGTCTGCTGGGGCAAAACCACGGGAACACGCTGGAGGACCCACTGAGGCCGGGACGAGGAGGAGGAGGAGGAGGAGGAAGCAGGAGCGAGGAAATGGAGATATAGGAGAAAGGCAAGGCTGTGGGTGGACAGGAAAAGATGTGTAATCAGTTATAGTTAAAAAAAAGATTTATATTTTTAAGCTAATAACTGTTTAAACTAAACGTGACCGGATGTTTGGACATTGGCTCTGACCAAACGTCCTCATGCCTCAAGTCCTGCATTATGCATTTACAATTACATGCATGGGAGCTGAGGGAGGGGGCTTAAACTGGTGATCTTCCACTGGCTTCAGTCTGCAAACAGGGTGAAGATCAGGACTGTCCAGGCGCTGATGGAAAATTCCCGAAGTGGCCCGAGGGACTGGCCCCGAGCCCTTTCGGCGTAGGTTTCTAACATTTAGCCGTGCCACAGACCAGCGGCCTTCTGGCATATGCCTCATACCTGAAACGGCCCATTGTTGTGTGTTCTAAACACAGCCGCCTCTCCTCTGGGGCTCTCAACACGTTCCATGTAACTCAAGCTGCACTCCACGGTCAGAGGTGAAAGGTCACAACTTCTTTTGGGGCAATCTCAAAAAGGAAGTCATTTGTAATAAATCTTACTCCACGGTTTTTTGGTCCTACAGTTTTACACAGCGTTGTATGTTATTCTTTCAGTAGCCTTTAACGCACACGGCGCGTCTTTACGCACAGACTGCGCGGACTTACCTCGGGAGCGCGGCGCGGGCGCGCATGGTCCTCCCTCTGCAGGTGAGCGAGACGACGAACGCGGAGGGAAATCCCCTCAATCTGCAGCAGACGGAGCCAGGCGAAAGCTGAACTGGCGAATGCCACTTCACCCGGAAAAAAAGAAAAAGACGCGTCGATGATCTCCTCCGTTCTTTTTCTCACAAACTGCAGACTTTGTTTGATCCGGGACGGTCTGGGATGGTCTAGGAGAAGCGGACCGGTCCACGGCGGAGAAACTGGATCTTTGTTTCGCTGCGGGTGGAGGAGAAGGAGGAGGTCTTTGGTTGGCCTGACATCCCAAGTGTCACATCCGCCGGCGAGAGGCCGACACTGTCATGTGGTATCGCGTTACTGCTGCTAATCATCAGATCTGTTGCTTTTCATCACAAAGTTGCCAGGCGACATTTTTTAGATAAGAAGTAGCCTGATTTAAATCAGGCTGCAAACAGTACATGAAGCAAATGTAATTGGATGAGCGTCTAATACATTATGGTATAAACGTTTAGACCAAAAACATTGTTTTTAAATCTCTTTGTTAGTGCTTAACATTTTTAAGTAGAGCTCTCAGGTTGCACAAAGGAAATAAATTATATTTTTTCCAGATTCTGGACAGAATCCAAAGAGTGCACCCTTTGAGGTTAAATTAAAGGGATATTTTGATTAAGTATTGCAGTCTTCCACTGCCCTGTAAGCCTAAACGTGCTCAGGAAATTAATTAAAGCCAAATTCAAACTTTACTCCCTTAATTAAGTTCACAACCGTAGCTGGTGAGAGTCGTGGTCCTCCCCGGATGGGTTGGCAGTCAATCCCAGGGTCAATTCAGAGCTTCCAATTCATAGAAAATGAGAGGAAAATTAAATAAAAACCGGGGAATGAAAAGTACATGCAAACACTAAAAGTCTTTACCTTAAAAAAGCACTTGCTGCAGGAAATACTGGTAATCAGCAGACTCTATCGACTCAACACCAGCGGATGGTGGAAATGGAAACTGAAGCCTGTGTCAGGGAGTGCATATTTGTGAATGTTTTGGGGAAAATTTGACATGCTTCTCATAACTCTGAGACTGGCTCATCACAAAAACACTGACCCGTCCCCACCAATGCTCTTTATTGTTCTTTCGATCTGCTCACAAAACACATCCACAAAGTACTGCAGGCTCCTCATGAGTGAGCTATGTATGATACTCACATCAGTGTTTTACCCAAACAAACTCCCACTCTGATGATAATATTTAGCCCTCGTAAATTTGGGAGCACACGAGAAACCTGGTTATTTCACAACAGAACCTCTTCGGTTTCACGTCTCGCAGATGTGATTTGATCAGTTGTGTCTTTGTGGTTACGTTAAAGTGTTTTAAGGATGGAAGGAATTAGCTGAGTGGGCGACGGAGTAGATCTGATGCCAAGTTGGGAGTTTGCTTTCCAGCAGAACCACCCACGCTGAAAAAGAGCTGTCGTTGGGCATTATCCTACATAACGATTTTATTAAAAGAGACTTCCATCTGAATAGGGGAAAGGCAGAGGATGTGTAGGTATTAAGATAAAGCAATGGCCAACAGACTGAAAACCCTCTTTGACACGTTCAGCTTTTTAGGTGGATTGAAAACAGAATTGTTTAATTTCCTCCTGATGGGGCTGTAGCAGTTACCATAAAGTTGGACCTCAGGGCGACTTCAAACAGGCTGCAAAGCCGGAAAAATTTGCTCTCAAATTTTGTACTCGCATAAAGAAACAACAAAGATCTAATCTGAATTGCAGGAGAACGCTTGTAAACTCTCCTCAGCTTTAATACTCTGCAGATGTACAATTTACTCATTCTGTCTCCTCTTATGTACCCTTGTGCAGACTTCCAAAAAACTTTGCTCCCACTGAAGCTTACCGTTGTCGTTTTTTAGACTACAGGATGCAGCATCCATTATTTGTCAAACAATCTTTGTCAAACCTTCCTTCAGTTCACAGATAATGATGATGATCTGGTTCATTCCAAAGTAAATCTGACATTGAAAGGGTTTCGTATTTGGATTTGATTCCTGTTTGAAAAGTGTTTTTAAACTGCTTAAAGGTACTTTATCTACAGTCTATTTCAGTGCTCTCTGATCCTGTCTGAAGCCAAACAACCATGGCCAGTCAGTGGACGTTTCTCCAGACTCTCTGAAAGGGGGAATAATAAGAAACATCTCTGATTCGTACATTTTGAGTTACCTTTTAGATACTGAGTGGGTGAGCGGGCCTAGTTGCTGACCGTGGCTTTGCTGTCCGGCATGAAAGTTGAATCAGCCTCCTCATATGACCGCTGGCAAAAAGGCTAATAGAATGCTGAGCCGTTGCTCAGGGTCTCCTGCAAACAATTATAGCCGAGCACCTTTGCCAAGACTCAGGGTGGACCTGCTGGCTCATCACAAACCTGCTCGGAATAACAAAAACCCCCACCCATCCTCTGATGCTCACGCAAATATCTCTTCCTTTTCTCTGGAGTTGTATCCGGGCCAAAGGAGTCACCATCTGAAAAGATCTAAAAATTGACCTTAATTGTTTATGTGCAGATTCGCACATTTGGGAAATGTTTGAAATGTTGCATGCTGGAGGTAAACTCCGGACGAATCGAGGATTTTATTTTAGTTTTCTTTTCAAAGGAAGGGACGGCCCTTTTTTTACCAGTGCCAGGCTGCTAATAAGAGAGACATTTCTGTTTGTTTTGAAGCGCTATGAAAGGGCCCGTTTGTTTATCTATGCCCGCTGTTGTCAAGGAAACCGACATTCCCCAGAGTACAGTTCATGTTAATTGTTTTATTCCTCCCACTCTCCTCCCCTCGCTCGTGGTCACAGACACAATCCAGTGAGTGTGGAGGGTTTGAATTCCCTTTTTTAGCGTCCTGCGCTGTCCCGTCTCCTCGGCTCTGTCTGTGTGTGTGTTTTTTTTTCTTTCTCTGTCACTGTGCCCCTCCTGTGTGAATAATCTCTCCCATCCCGGACCTCTCCTCTTACTGCTCCCTTGTGGTCGTAAAAACAGCTGTTTGGCAAAAAAAAAGTGATAACCAGAGGTCTTTTGAGAACAGATTTTCTGTGAAATCTTGAGATGAACTTAGGCCAAGTTCACTCCTCGAGGCAATGCCAACAGCAACACAGAGGAGATGTGGGTGACTGCATTTTAGATTTTAATATATTCACATAAAATAAAAATAAAGTAAAAATCTGCCAGTCTCAGCTGATTTTCAAGGGCCATTTCCTTCTTCGTGACCATTTGTTTTCCGGTACCATGCGTGCAAACTGGAAACTGTCATGTTTTTGGACGCACACCTTGCCAAAAAAATACAACAAAAAAGCCTTTGGATATTACAAAATAAAAGTTGATTACGCTGAATGAAATCTTATACCCAAATTGGATGCAGCCTGTTCTCCTGAGAGCAACTTAATTCTGAACTCTCCATCAAATGTTAACCCTCAATGGCAAGGCTTATTAGTTTTTTTGGGGGAAAAAAAAGTATTTCATCCTATTTGATCCTATTTTTTGGGATCATAATTATCCCTAATATATCCACGGAACAATCTGCTCTTGAGAAATTGTTCATGGGTCATTAATGTAATCAGGTGGTTTATAGTTAGACAGTTACTTACTTCCTTGTCAAATCCTGGTTTTCTCCTTTGCCTCTCGCTCATGTTTTCCAGTTTCTGGCACTTACAGGTACATCCAAACTCCAGCCTGGCCACTGGACCCTGGATCAATATTGAGTAAAATTACAACACCTTTCCAGTGCAAACTGTTGGGTAAAAAGTATGTAGCAAGGACCTAAAAGAATTAGAGGAGAAAGGAACATCTGTATGGCAGCAATTACTCATCCTAGATCTACACACTGATCCATCCAAAATATGAGTAGTATACAGGAAGAAATTATGTCTTGATTACAGATGTTGGGACAGAGTCGACATAGAAAAAAATAGATCTGGAGTGGTCTGTAAATAAAATAAATATGGCCAAACCTGTAGATTCAGATTTTTCTCCCATTCAGTAAGGCAACCCTCTTAAAGAGTCATAAAAGTAAGACTGTAACCTCATCCCTAAATGACCCTCAACTTTGACAAACAGGAAAGTGTAACAGAGAGAGATGCCAATAAACTGTGGAAGGTTGTATTGGCACTCAAAATGAGGGGTAGACGCGTCAAAATGTTTGACTGATGTCGTCTTTCCAGATAGTGCCGTATCTTTAATGACATCCCTTTGTAATGATGTCCTCCTTATCTCGCTGTGTCTACTTTTTGTCATTGATTCAACACGCTGCAAGCTGATGGAAAACATTGTCCAGATGTTTTCTGATGGAAAAAAAAAGCACGGTTTTATGAACGACTGCCTGAAACCCGATGGAAATCTTTAAATAGGAATGCGATGCCGATTTGAAATACTTAAGCTTGTTCAGCGCTCCTGTGCCAAGTGCAAAGGGAACACTGGACGGCTGTATGTGGGACCAGTTTTGATGCCCTGCACGAATAACCGTGGGGTGCTTTAGCAGAGGTTGTGAGCACTGGAAAATGCCATGCGAGAAAAAGCATGCATTTCTCCTCTGAACTCTTCACGTGGGAGAAAAAGAGTGTGACGGGAGATTCTGACAGTCAGCCACTGCTGCTCACTCACTTAGAGAACACAGAGAACAATGTAGCATCACTTGAGAATGCAGCATCATTCCACCAGGGTAGCCACCCTGTCAGGAATAAGTCTAACGCTCGGGATGGATGACAGGGTGTTTTTAAAGAGCCCCATTATGTCCTCTTCAGGGTTTTTTTCCATGCCTGCAATGTGTTATGTAGCCTTTTGTGCTGGTGAAAGGTCTCCATAATAATGCACATTTCAGAGCCCCCCCCCCCTTAAGGGAGTTGTGCGTTCCCAAACAAAGCCGCAGCTTCTGAACTGCCTTACATTTTTTTGTTTGTCGACAAGATATTTCTTCCATTACTTCATGACATGACCATGAATAACACTTGTATAGCGCCTGCCTACAACAGAGGAGGAGCAGCTGCCTTCCACTCGGCCGTTTTGGATCTGTTAGCTGCACAGCCACAGCAGACTGAGCTTTCAGGAGTCTCAAGCAGCACAGAGCCACAACGGGGAGTCTGAAGCATAAGGAAGCAAAAGGTCCGAAAGGGATATACACAGAAATTAGTGTTTTAGGTTATTTTAGAGGAACCCCACGTAGATTGTGAAAAATTAGAAGAAATAGTCTAAAATATATGGTAGTTGTTTACAAGAAAATCTCCTATCTTGTTGCAAGGACTAATATACTGTATTTAAATGCCCCTGGTGTGATACATTAAAGCACAACTCTTAACACATCCACCCAGAGATTTGTCTGATTATCTTTGATAATAGTCCTAAA